GTACATCTATTTTTTAATATACTATATAGTGTATATATATATATTATGTGTGTGTGCCTGTATATATATATATATATATATGCATATGTATTTTGTACATGCATGTTTGTATGTGTATATATATATATAACTAGTGGAGGACCACTATAGCTTTTCTCCTTTCTTCCTGACTGAATCATGGCTAACATTCCGCAGCCGATTCACCAAGGATTTCCCCAATCCCAGTCCCAGCAGGTTCCCTGGGACCCAACGGCAAGTCGTAGAATTGCTGCGAAGAGCCCTTGAAGCACAGCATGTGCACCTTTTGGAAGGGCCGTCACCCTGGAAGTTGGGGAAAAAATACTGCGAACTGCCAATGGTATATGGTATAGAACATATAGTAGATATAGTAAATATGTACTACAACAACAACAACAACAACAACATATATATATATGTTATGTGTATATATATATATATATGTTACATAAATAAATAGACATTTTATAAGCTTGAATTGCGTTTGTCTGCGAATGCTGTCCCTTGGTTTTTATTGGTGTCTCCCAAGGTGACCATCAAAAAAAATGCCATTGGCAATTGGTGTACCCCATATTCGGCACTGCTTTGGAGTACTGATGTACCTTTGAGACAGCCCTGGGCTCAAGGCACTGGGCTCAAGTTATCTCAATTTGGATTTGTCCAGTGGGGTACCCCAAAATAATGATTTTCTGTTGGGAAGCTATTTTCCTCGCCACAGGAGTTCGGTTTTTGTTCCAAACATTTTAGGCAAAGCCACCTAGAAACTGATTGAGAACCGTACTTATTGAATAAATTAACTATTCAAACATGTTTAATAAGGTAGGACAAAAGGAAAACACGTTGTGAGTATGGAAAGAATTCATATATACATATTATATATATATATACATATACATATATACACATATACATATATACATATACACCTATATACATATATACATATATACATATATACATATATACATATATACATATATACATATATACATATATACATATATACATACATATACACATATACACATATACATATATACATATATACATATATACATATACACATATATACATATATACATATATACATATATGCATATATACATATATACATATATACATATATATACATATACATATATATATATACATATATACCTATATACATATATACATATATACATATATACATATATACATATATACATATGTACATATGTACATATGTACATATGTGCATAGATACATATGTACATATATATATATATATGTATACACACAGACATGGGAATTTCCTAAAATGGGTGTACCCAAAGATGGATGGTTTATAATGGACAACCCATCTATAAATGAATGATTTAGGGGTACCCCTATTTGGGATCATCCAAATGAAACCCCTATTGAATTCTTCCCTAGCCGAGACGCAGCGTGACCCAGCTCATGGGCCTCAAAAGTGATGGGGAAAAGTGATGAGAAACGTCCCAAAAAACAGGGAAAACGTAGGGAGGTTCACCGGATTTCCACCTTTCACCAAGAAAAAGATGAAGATTTTTCAATGAACGGATTTTTTTCATTTGATTTCTCAAGGAACGGAAAGTGCTGGAAATTCGGATGTTTAGCATTCGTCCAAAAAAGGATTTCACCATATTTCACCAGGACCAGTGGGTTGTTTTGAAATGTCATGAAACCAAGAGTTGGATGGTCTCCTGCCGGGGTCCAAGGGGTGACTCCCAACAAGCATCGAGAAACTATCATCACGGCATCGTCTGGGGTAAGCAGCCTGAGCAGCTTGGAAAAGCAAAAAGGATCCATCACCAAAACCGGTTGGTTGTCGCAAGGCCCAAATAATACACGAAACTGGTGATTCGACCAAGCAAAATGAGGTTGGTCATAAGGAAAAATGAGCGTAACTCGCCAAACATCAGTCTGAAGCAAATCATCATGTTCTTGGGTACCCGAGGTGCCCCAGCACCACCAACAAAGAGCTACAGTAACCCATGAAAAAAGCAACCAAAAGGCATCAAAAGGCAGGTCTTTCAACATGTTTCAATGGATAATCCAAACGTGTCGCTACGCAGATAGTGTTCAATCGTGTTCATCCCCAAATCCTGAGAAAACATCGCACCTCTGCGGACTTCACTTGGGGCAACAACTCACGAGAAGACGCCATGAGTAAGAAAAAATGACATAAAATGCATCAAAAAGCAGCCAAAAAACATCAGCCAGGAATTGAACCATCATTTGATCAAAGTTTCCGCAACAAGTTCGGTGACCATTCCCCTGTGACCACCAGGGTGGTGATGATGTTTTTAGTAAATTATATGTGCGTGTGAAAATTATATGATATAACTATATATATACACATATACATTATCATATGTTCTGTATATTATTGCGTCATAGATTGTATTGTATTATATATATATATGTGTATGTGTGTGTGTGTTTTATCATATTATATATAGATATACATATATATATATATTGTATTATATATATAATGAAATGTTTATATATTATATAATATATGCATATATATATATGTACAACATGTTATATATATATATATGTGTGTGTGTATGTACTATATATATATATTAAATATAATGTGCATATATATATATTGTATGTATCATACTATACGTGTATATATAATTATATATATATATCGCATTAAACATTCCCAGTGCTGATCAAATGTTGCTGCTTCTTAAAAACCCCATGCTTCCATTCGGGTTGGGTTCCCCTTCCTCTTTCATGTGCCAAGCAGCTTGGTGGCCCCCACGGACGGAGCTTGGAGGTTCAATCCTAAATGGACATGCCCAGGTGCCAGCAGCAAAGCCCCCGGAGCCAAGGGACGCGTCCTGGGCAGGTATTGGAAAGCCTTAAGCCTACGTGGTATTGGAAACTTAATCATAGATAGTAGATGGTAATAGATGATAAAAGATGATAGTAGATGATAATATATGATACTAGATGATAATATATGATAATATATGATAATAGATGATAATAGATGATAATAGATGATAATAGATGATAATAGATGATAATAGATGATAATAGATGATAATAGATGATAATAGATGATAATAGACATTAAAAAACCATATCCCAAAGGATCCACAAGGTGCTCTTGCATTGCGTTGTCCAGATCTGGTGATATCGGGCCCAAATCTCAACTTACGAGGCCGCGATGACCCCCTAGGCCCTAGCAATTTAAGCATCGTGGTGGAAAATGACCAACCAGTTGGAACAGGAATTTTCAACATGGGCTGCGGGGATGCCGGGATGCCCGTCTAAAGCATCACGTGTTGATACTTTTTGCCTAGGTCAGCCATGCGATCTTTAACGTCAACAACATGAAACCACACCTGTCCAGGCTGAGCCCCCCAACCCTTTCCAGGACATGTAGAGTTCGACCTTGTGTCGATGCAACTTGTACTCAAGAGCAGGAAAAGGGGGTACATCTATCCTTAAGGTCTTCTCTCTGCTTGATAATCCAACCCTGGCAGCAGAAAATCCACAGCTGATACCCCTTCACACTTGTTTCTCTCATCAAAAGTAAAGAATTGATGATTACTAGGGGGCAAGACATGGAAAAAAGTCTGGCCTGTTATCCAATGATTACCTGAGCTGTCAGTTGTGCCTGAGCCCTCCAGCGTAAACATATCCTAAGCAGCGGCCCTCACCTGCTGCCAAACCCACTGGAGGCCTCGGCTCTGGTGATGACTGGCATCTAATCCCATCTTTATTTTAAATGGGAAATCAAGCATGCAAGCATGCTTGAAACAGTCAAAGTGGTCAACATCTGGAAATTGTTAGCGGTGCTTCGAGGCAATCTGGGATCCCCTGCCCATCCACCACTTCAAAGCACCGCACACCGCCGTGCCATCTGGCCCGCGGCGCTGGGGAGTCCCTTGAAATTCAGGAGGTATTAGTTGTCTCTGGATCCATGGGAGCATTTCTGTCATTTCTGCTTTAAGTTGATCCTAAGCTTATCACAAATGAAAGGTACTAGACCTGTAGAAACGGAGAGGCCAGGCGGCCAAGCGGTAGATTCTTTGGCACCGGTCAGCTGAATTTAGAACCTGGAAAAAACACAGGGCAAAGATCTCACTGCAGAGGCTCCTTTTTTCTTCCGAACCAAAGCTCTGCAGAATCTCCTGCACTGCGCATACTGCGCATATCTTCTGAGGTGATGGAAAAGCATCAGCCATGAAATCGATCGATGCAGATGCAATGAACATTCTCAACATTCTTGCCACACAAATGGAGGTTTCCCAAAATATGGGTCCCCCAAACCATTGGTTTTCCCACTGGTAATAGCCCCTTTTGGATGATTTTGAACTCCCCAAAATTTAGGAAACCTCCAAATGATGGTCTTCCAAGTCAGGCTTTCCTTTCCGACCCAAGTCCTTCTGCTCGAACGACGGCCTTGGGCCAGACCCAACAATAGAAAATAACTGCGTGCAATGTGGTAAACCCAAGAATATCGGTACCATTTGGGAACTATTTCTACCACCCTTTATGGTAGTAGTGGGCATTGTATGGGATTCCTTTTTACCGGGTCTGACACATTATATTCATAAGTTCAAGAAATCATAATATGAAATCTAAGTGCACGTCATTGTGTGGGTCTACCTGTCTATATCCAACATAGCATCTGCCGACTAGCCGGGGACATACATACACATATATCACATATCAATACATATCAAATAATGTCCAACACCCATCCGACTTGTCATTGACAATTGCATCTTTTCTCCAGGGCCCCCGGGGTTTGATCACCTGGGAAACATCACCAGTCACCAGTCCGGTGGCTCGACCCCATCCCCATATTCCGGCTTTGTCGAATGGAGGGCCACTTGAATATATCAATATATCTTGGATGGGTTGCAAAAAACACATTGGCACAGTGTACAAATCATACAAATCAATATGAATCCATGGGGGGTTGGGGCACCCAAGTGACATTCTCACATCCTCCGGTTCCATGCCATGCCGCCTTTGCCACGCACCTTGACCTTCGCCCGGCGACCGAAGCGACCGAAGGCCGTCCAGTCTGGCGCCCCGTAGCGTCGCAGGTCGTAGATCTCCCACTGCGGGGCCAGCAGGCGGTAGAGGAGCATGGCGACCCTGGCGCCGGGGGGGGAACGTAGGGAACCTGGGTCAAACATGGAGAATCAACTGCTGTTCTCAAGAATAAACACCTGTTCTCAATAAGCAAAAGTATATGTTAATATATATGTTAATTACAAACAAAGATCATGCCACCTGAAAGATTCAAAATTCACCAGTAGAAATCAGAGGATCCAATGAATTCACCAACAAACATATGGATACATATGGACCATTTTGATCCATTTTGTACGATTAAAAAAAACTAAACATGGAAAGATTCAGCAATTCGTCAGCCAAGTCCCCATAGTCCGCAAGAACAAGGCACCCACAGAATTCCGAAGCTTGCATAGAATCTTTGAAATCACCGTCAATGAACGACATGTTGCTGACACCATCAATCTTTCTCCTTCATTCTAGCCTATTAAATCGGTCCAAAATTGGCGTCCAATCCTCCGTTTGATCCATTATATCACCTTACATCCCCTAAAGATTCTCAAAAATGGTCTCAAGAAAAAGTGGCAAAGCGCCATAATTATAATAGTATACTATATGATAATCCATCCCCAATGACTTACGGGTATTTACGGGTGGGTTTAAATAACCATCCGTAAGTCTGGCTGACCCATGGTGCTGGGCCCCACCTGGCATCCTCGACCGAGGAATGTGCCCCGCAATGGAGCGATGCATCGCCCAGCCAACTCGCCGCCAAGGTTTTCAGCCCCGGGAGCCCTCGGACGAGCTTTACGGCAGTGGTGGAAACATGAAGCCGAAGTTATTTTAGGGTAAACTAACAGACTGGAAAACTAAAATCAACCATTGGACCTAGATGAACAGTTCGATGCGGAAAAACAGAATCAACCAGTTCTAGAGTTCTAGATGATTTCCCTAGGGAAACCATTGCGTGTTCAATGGTTTTTCATGGGTTTCCAACACCTATATTAGTCTACTCGTTTACCCTAAGTTACTAGTGGGTTGATGAAGTTGATGGGTCATAACTTGGGTCACAACTACCTAGTTTTGATGAGGATTGTTTATGGCATTGGGTTTACCACATCATGCTGAATTGATTGGTGTTTTTGTTGGGGTTCCCACATGACATGGGATACTCTCTCTCTCTCTCTCTCTCTCCCGCTCTCTCTTCTCTCTCTCTCCCGCTCCCTCTCCCATATCTATCGATCTATCGATCCATCTATCTGATCTAATCTAATCTATCTTAGGCCTGTATCCACTCTAAACAAAGATCGCCAGACTCCAGACCTGCAGCACGGCTTCCCTACAGGGCTGTCAACTCACATCACGCTGCCAAAGGCACATCTTGTCTGCCAAACGCTGTGGGGGGGAAAACAGAGCCCGTGAGCACGCTACGCTGAACTCACATGACGGGCATTGTTTTTAAACTTCTCCCTTGAAATTCTCAGCGAAAATGAACACAACACTCTGCAAGCGCCATCATGATGCACTGTTTGGTCTCAACGAACTTCCGAGGAAGAGCAAACTCACAATCAAACAGCAAGAAGAAACAAGGCCTGTGGCCTATATAATGATCATCAAAGCTGAAGCAAGGACAACGAAGAAAAAGAGGAAGAGTCAGAGACCGAAAGAGAAAAAAACATCACATTGCAAAAAACAGGTGCCATTCTAGAATGGCAAAATCCATGATTTCGTACAAGTAGTAAGTCAATGTTTTCTCACAGGCGCAAGGAAAAAACATAAAAAAACATGTTAGCCATGACAAGGCACCTAGCGGCGGCCGCTCCAGGCCCGCTTTCAGTAGTGGCGAGAAGGCCGTGTCGCGCGTCATGTGCCGCGGCTGCGGGAAAACGCTGCCCTTCCCGCGCTGCAGCAGATGGAAGTCGTGCCGCAAGTCCTCGGGGAGGGCTGCGATGGCGGAACCATGCGGAACCAATGGGAACCATGGAAAAAGCCAAGGCCATTAGAAGCAATACATGGTGAATTTACCAAAATAACATGGAGATAACTTATAAATTTTATACAGTATGATCTCTATGGACTCTATACAGAATCAACACGAACTGGTTCTAGAAGATCTTGAGCTTGACAATCCGAAGTAGACGTCTATAGACGTCTGAAAGGAAGAATGCATTTGAGGGAGCAGTACGTGACAGACAGAGTGGTTCTCACCATCCAAATTCAAATGTTGGGGTCTCCTGATAGTTTTCCTTTAAAGCAAGCTTGGGATGACATAGAAGGGCCCAAAGATAGGTGGAGAACTACCGCAGTTTCATGATGTTTCATGTCATACCGGGTCCCGATAATCTCCCCAGAGAACAGCAGCGAAAGGACAACAGCTTGGCAAATGTTGATCCCTTTCAGCAAAACAGACCAAAATGGCGACTGGTCAGTTTTTTTCTGTATTTTTTTGGCCAAAAAAAATGGCTGAATTCGGTCGAACCTTCCAGACTTCGCCCACCCTCAGGCCATTCTCCCAAAGTCCCATTGGTTGCTGCGGCACATGGCCCACCACCACCACCTGATCCAGCAGGGCATTGACTTTGGCCCTGGCAAGCGGTGTAGGAAGCACCAGCGTGGGAAGCTGTGGCTCATACCTGGGCCCAACATGTATAGATGGTCCGTTTGAGGCACCAATCACACCAAAAATGTGTTATGTCCTATTCTATTCTGTTATATATTAGATTGTGTTAAGGTATGCCATATATTATAGCATACTATATGACATTTAACTATATCATATTAAATTATGTTATAGTATATTAAACTATATTATATATTAAACTGTACTATATTGTATAATTTGTTAAACATCATAAAATTATATAAAGTAAAAACTATAAAGTCAAAAACAAATCAAACTATATATATATATAATTTTATTGTGTATATATATATACGTGGCTTTGCCATGCTTCGTCCAGAATTAAAATCTACACCCAAAACCATGGCATTGTTGTGGCACCCTCTGCTGCCACGTCGCCGGGTAGATCCCTGTTGAATCTCCCGAAAAATCTCCGCATCCACGCCGGTGTAGGCGGTGCGCCAGTCAGTGACCTCCTATGTGCCAGGACGATACACCATGCCATGATTAACATGTAATCTACATATCATGTGTATGATATATGCCACTTTATGTGCATAAATATATCCGTATATATATATATATATTGCAATATGTTGTCTATAGTTCATGTTTTCTGCCTGGGATCGGTTTACAATACTAGACGTAAAACATTCCCAAGCGAATTTCCATTCGCCCCGCCTTCTATCTTCAATATATATATATATATAACTATCCTAACTATCCCCTACGTTCGGGCTCAAAATTCACATAAGACTTCGTGTAAAACCCGTGGCATACCCAAGTTGCCCCCATCCTCTTCAGGCTCAGTAAGGCAGTCCAGTAGGACCTGGGTCGCCAAAGACTTGCACCCAAGTTTGTTCTGACCAAGTTACCACCCCAGGCTTAATCCCAACACCTCATTTTTAGGGGTAAAAATTGGGTATTCATATAAGGCAAAAGATCCAAAAAATCGCCCCCCAACCCTGCCAAATCTCGAAACTTCACGTCCCCCGCCTTTCCATGGCGACTCACCACAGACACCCGGATCAGCACCGAGCGTTTGCCGCGAAACCCCACGCCCACCATTTCGCAGTCCAATGCCCGGACTCGGGGGCGGCGGTGTTGAGGCCTCGCACAGTTAGCCTCTGGCAAACTTACATTATAAAGGTATTCTCCCGGATTTTCATGGGATTTTAGAGGGAAATATAATATATAATTGTTAGTAATGGTGAATCATTGATAATAATGGAATAGTGATGCAATAGTGATGGAATACTATTGGAATATTGCTGGAACATTGATGTTAATGGAATAAAGATTGATGGAATGTTATTGGAATATTGGTGTTAATGGAAGATTGATGGAATATTACGAATATTGATGGAATATCATGGAGTATTTTTATATACAACGGGGTAATCTAACATAGCTATGGAAAATCGCCATCAAAATCATAAGTAAATCATGGATAATCATGGTACATCATTGAACCACATGGGCCGCGGCTTCATAAGATTGGGCGGAAAGATGGATAAAGACTTTTGAAGAAGAAGAAGAAGAAAGATTTGGCTGCATTTGGGGCTATCATGTTATAATGCGAACCATGGGGTAGCAATATAAATGTGTGTATCTGCATTTGCGGTAGTAGTGGGTGATTCTTCTCTGGCCCAATCCTCACTCTCTGCTCCAAGTCTCAGGACATTCACTGGATCATCTTTCGGCGTTGCTTCGGCAGCGCACTTGGGCATGGTAGCGGCCATACATGGGCAAGATCACGGCTACTTGTTGCGAAATCATGCGCCAACCTTTGTATGCTCTAGGCTTGGAGAGCGTTTTATTCAAAAAGCTACGGTTTTTATGCAAAAAAAGATGAGGCATCTCTATACATGTGCATATACATATATATATCATATATATATATACTATACATAAACAAAAAATATATATGAGGTCAAGCCATAGCCTTCACCATAGACACTACTGCACCGGGCATGAGTGAATTTTTCTGTGGGGAGTCTTTTTTGTGCGGAAAGGCAGAGATCATGCCAGCATCATGCTGCTGTTGTAGAGGGAGCAGGGGCACCATGATTCTTTGACCCCTGGACTTCTACTGGATCCTGTTCCAGCCTGGGCTGCAAAAAGGATCACACAAGAGACTTTGGCACATTGGTATGGCAAGTGAGATCCGCTCACCTAGCTTCAAGAACAGAATCCGGAAATTAATCTGCAAGTTTCAGCCATTTCGGTACATTGTAAAACGTCGTGATTCAAGTCGAGGGAATCAATGAGACTCATGTTCGGACTATTACTTATTGTAAATCAAACTTAGGTTGATTCAAACCATGGCAAACCGTGGTTAATACATGATGAAAATGGCCGAACCACGGTAGCAGTAGCAAAGCAAAAAAAAAAAGCCATAAAATGATTCTGCATCCATGTAGCATCATAGTAAATACCCCCCCAAAAAAAAAGTGTAAGCAAACCCTCCGCAGGATCATCATTTTTGGTGGATCTCCGGGCCAATGCGGACCCTGCGGACCCTGTTTGCAGCCAGCTTCGCGATGGCAAGGCCCGGAAGGTCACGTTGCAAGAACGACCTTGGGCCGTTCTTGCGGCCCGCCCCGGCTTAACTGGATGGTAACAACGGGGAATATCTACAGAAAACAATGGCTGTTTTCTGGATCTAAAATGGATTTTGTATGGATCTTAATAAATGGATCATATCCAAATATGATCAAATATGCATCGTTCATGATAACTCTACAGAATGGAAACCATGGATCCACTGATCTAATGGAATCCTGCACCATCAAAGGTGGCAATGGGAGATCCCCGAGCTGAATGGAGGATTTTGATGGTAAAATCATCTTGAAATCAGAGATTTCCATGCCACCTTTGATTCCCGGAGGGTCGTTTCCATGAATCCCATCTCACTTTATACCATATTATATTGGCTATACATATATTGCACATATGTCTACATATGTCTATATATATATATACGCACCATATTGCATCCCCAATACGATATCTCATCATCTGCCTGCTGAGGCTCCAGGCCAAGCACCTCCATCAGTCTTTCCAAGGCCGGTTCCGCAGGAAGGAACTCCGCCAGTTTGAAGCTGTCGGTGCCACGGCTCTGTCGCATCCAGTGGTAGGCCTGGATGACAGGCTCGGCACCAGAAGAGTTCGGAGAATTGATCGTGCATATCTATATATAGATATACAAATATAGATATATGATATATGTGTCTGTATGTATATTATATTCTTGTAGGATCTTGTAGGCATAGAACCATTTTCCTAATACTCAAATCATTCGGGAATGGTTTTCGGGAAAGACCCGCAAAAACGTCAAAGGAAGAAAATATTGGGTCTGTTTCTTCAGCTCTGTGACTTTTTGTTCCGCCCCTCCTCAGGAACATTGTACCTGGAAAACTGCACCCTGCAAACCTGAACATGCTAGCCCCAATCCATGCGTGCAAAAGCAAAAAGAAAAAAAGGCGGCCGCATGCGGCCGCTGGCCGCCAATCTGATGCCAATCTGCTAGAACCCAAGCTCCAGCCATATCAACCTCCTGCCCGAACTCTCACTCAAAGCTGCCTCTGAATGCTGAGAAGCTCCACCCGCGCGCTTCATTTCTTGCAGGCTGCGAGCCAGGCAGGGCTGCAGCTGCTTCCAACAGTCCTGCAAAAGTCGAGCTGCAGACTTCCCATCCTGCGCGACCTGCCATGAGTGAAGTCGGCACATCTGTGTGCATTTTTTTGGTGTATGCAATGATGGTCTATAGTAACCAAAAAAAAAGATAGAAAAGTAAAATCATACTACAGCAAACTTCATCGAAACGATGTCCATGAACCATGTTGGCATCAACTTGCCGTGCAAAGCCGAAGCAAGGGGAGATACCATAAACAGAAACACATCTCCACTAGAAATAAGCTTAGCTGAAGTCTAGAATGAAGAAGAGACTGCGCGAGTCAATCCACACGAGCCAGAAAACTATGAATCTGGCCCTGCGGGGGAGATTAACAGACAAAAGATAAAACAAACAATGCTGTACTTCATGAGCATAAAGAAAGTCTGCTAATGCCGTCTGGAGTCTGCCCTTGCAGATACGACGACAGAACCACACCGGCACAAATGCTGTGGGAGTCACAGCAAGTGGGCGAAACGGTTGGCAAAGTCTGGACAACTCAAGAGACTCGTAAGCCCCTGCGAATGCAAGGGCGGAAGGAATTAAGGTCGATTACAGTATGTTATCTTTTGCCGGGGTTGCTATATATACTGTATCTATATATACATATACACATACATATACATACAATTCCCCACTTCCCATGCCCACCTCTGCCAGAGGCCGCAGCTCATAGTCAGCCCATGAGTTGAAGCCGAGCCTCGATGGAAGGGATCGATGGATTATGGCAATAGTAGTAGACCTCCATTTCTCTGGGTAAATTACAACAATTCACTAACCTGAAAAACTATATATATATCATTATATATATATAATTATTTGTATATTATATATATATATCATTCCAGTGACGTCACAATAAGGTCACTATAAATCAACCAGATTTCTGTAGGAAAATCATCCGAAAACATGAGTTCCTTTGAGGTGTACTGGGAAAGATACCTCTGTTCAAGTATCTCTCACTCTACCTCAATCGAATTATCGATGTCTGATTCCTTCATTTAGTCATGTGTTTGTTTAGATCTAGCACGACTTTCTATTTATGTGTATAATTCATGTGTATATATTGTGTATATATATATATAATTACACATTTAATTACAGTATATATACATATACACACATGCGCAAGCGGTTTTGAGCAACGAAGGTGGGGAATAGAATTGCACCAATCAACTACAGAAAGGGCTGAATAGATTTCACCCAACCCGTTGCGGCTTCTCCCAGCTCCTCTTTTCCTCATTCCGCCATGCGCACATCGAAACAGACTTCAACTTGCGTCCCCTGCAGCTCCCCTGTCGCTTGAACACCTCCATTTTGGTCAACTGGCCACAATCATTCAGGCTAGGCATGAAAATACCGACGGATATGGAGGAAAAACATCAGAAACCGCCAGCCAGCATTGAGACCTATTGCAACTCTTTCAATAGCACATCATCTATGGGCTAAATCATCCTGGACCATGGTTGATCTGCGGGACAGGTCTAGCTGCCGCTGCAATTGAGCTGTGAGTAGGGGTGCATTGACCACCCAAATTGTCTTTCAACGCCCTGTGACGGATGTGGAAACAAAAAAAAAAAACAAAGTGATTTGGCACTTGGATTTCCAATAATGACCAGTCTGCCCATGTACTGAATATGACCCAATATCACTAGGAGTTCAACCTTCATGTACCCACAGCATCATCCCACGATCACACATGGCCCGCAACCAATTTTTCCACATCAATCCTCCCGATCGCTGCCATCAGATCGTTCCGTGAGTTCAAAGACTCGCAGGGGCGCCGGATTGGGGCGATAGGCATAGACAAGGACCAAATAGATCACCTGGCACCCAATAGTTGGCCACAAAGATTCGCAATTAGGGATTTTGACCAACAAGACCATCTGCCGAAACGTTGTGTTTTACCTACAAAGCACGGGGAATTTGACTGGCAAAGTGGACATCAGTCACCCAAGGTCAGGTTCCATCAGCTATACCGGTACACCCTGCAGACCACGGAAATATCAACAAAAATGCTGGGGCCGAACCAGACATCTTCCGGATACCTTTCTTGTTTCACACGGACTTCCCTTTGTTTGGCAACCAGCATCCTAGGGTCCCACGGTCCCAGGGGCGCACCCATGCTCTCAGCTCCTGTACCAAGACGTAAAGCCATTCCTGGTCCCATGGGATGATCGTCACCTTCCTGCCAGGTTTAGCACGGCTGGCGGAGTTCCGGAGGGGAAAAACCATCCAAAACAGATGCAGAATGATGGTTTTCTTAAATGTTTTAAACAAACATATGTGTGTGAACAAATATTTTTTTCCGAATCCAAAGTAGTAGTGATGAATGAATTTCAGTTTTTTTTTGCGTTTTTTTGGGGGACAAAAAAATCTAAACTGGCGGGTTCTGATGTTCAGAGGGTCTCCCCCCAAAAAAAATCAATAGCACTTTCCACGGCAATTTGCTGTCAGGATCCACCGCTGCCAAGTATCAGGAACAGTTCGAAGGTGGGGGCGACGATAAAAAGCAGGAAAACCTGACACATGACAAAGGTGGGAACCTTGTTGGGTCTGCTTTAAATGCCCATGCCACGCAATGTGCACAACAAAACATGCGCAAAACTCCTTGCAAGTCAACTGAGATCACCCCCCCAAGAGATGGAATGCTGAGCAAATGGTGTTGGTGTTGGATGGGGGGCAATCATCGGTTCAATATGGTTTCATCATCCATGTCCATCAAGTTTTGAAGTTTTGATGCAAATGCTGGAACATTCTGGAACATTCACGCAAATAAATTGAAAATTATCAACTATCCCGGCAAGAGGCCCCAAACAGTGCGTAGTTAGGATACGTTAGGATTCTAAAGGGGATGTGGAAAGGACCCAAAAACATCAGGGGCTCCAAGCTAACAGGACAAGAGCGACCCAGGTAGTGAAGCCTTGTGTTCATTCAAGGTGGTCTCTGGAAGAAAAGATACCAGGTTGGATTCGGCAAGTTCCCTTTGTGAAGATCTCTGTAGAAGATCGTGCGCAAGATCGCCTTGACAGGTTCTCTATAGAAGCTGCTGTGCAAGATCCCTTTGTAAGGCTATCTGTATAACCTAAAAGAAATTTCCACAGAAGATCGCTGTTAAAGATCTCAAAGTAGGATCCCTGTTCAAGCTCTCTATATAAGATCTCCGCGCAAGATACCGGTTCCCTTCACCAGGTCTCGGTGCAAATCTCCATAAGATGTCTCCTGGCAAGATCTCTGTAAGAGACCTCTCGGCAAGATCTCCGCACAGATCTCTATAAGAGGTCTCTTGGCAAGATCTCTGTAGAAGCTCTCTACAAGAGCTCTGTTGGCAAGATCTTTGTAAGAGACTTTTGGGCAAGATCTCTGTACAAGGTCTCTGTATGAGCTCCCCGAACAATAAATTTATTTTTAAAATAATAATTAATGATGATGATAATAATAACAATAATAAAAATAAAAATAAAAATAATAATAATATAACTATAATTATAATTATAATAACAATAATAATCATAATCATATTAATAATTAAAAAATAATAATAATAATAATAATAAGAGGTATCCGTGGCAAGATCTCTGTGCAAGCTCTCTATAAAAGACCTCCTTGCCAAGATCTCTGCACAAGATCTCCTTGACTATCGAAATGAGCACCGCGCCACAGCGCGAGCGATCTGACACACTCAAAGTGCCGAGGGGGTTGCGCAAGGGAACTCAAAATGAGCCCCGCGCCGCAAAATAAGTGACAAGAGGGTTGCGGGAGCGATCTCAAAATGAGCACCGCGCCGCAACGACAACGATCCGACACGCTGCACCGTGCCACGACGACGACGAGAGCGATCCGATGTGCCCAAAGTGACGAGAGGGTTGCGCGAGCATACGCAAGCGACCTCAAAATGGGCACCGCGCCACAAGGAGAGCGATCTGAGAGGCCCAAAGTGACGAGAGGGTTGCGCGAGAGGTCTCCAGGGACACCATTTCGTGCGAGACTTCCGACAAAAACGGAGGATGAGGGAGCTTTTGTGCTGTAAGGGTCACCAAATTTGCCGGACACGGATGCCAAGACCAAGTTTTGTGCGAGACTTCCTTCAAAAACGGAAGATCGAGGACCTTTGTGCTGTTAGGGTCACCAAAAATGCTGCGCGCGTATGAGACCACCTTGAATGAACACCAGGCCTTAACTGCTACCGTAAGAACCCCAAGTATGGCCATACTGTTTGGGCAAAAAATGGAACATGTGAGTTCATGGGGACAATCAGAGTCAATCAGCGCCCATTTTGGCAAAAATTGGGAAGATTGAAAAGTCACCAAGTGCTTCCAACTACCAACCCATGGCAACTTCAACCCACCCAAACTCGCCGAGGCAGTGACCCAGCGGAAGATCTGGTAGGCCTGCAGTTTCCTGATGAATGGAAGGGATCTCCCTGATCTCCGAAGCCCCAAAAACTTTAAACACATCATCGTGCTTGAACAATTATAAATTCAGCAATGATGACTTTACCATACTTTACCAACACTAATTCAATATGTAGTGATGTATTATGGTTACTATTGGTTACTTATTTCATGTGGCAAGCGACCTGGCCACCATCCGCCGAGGCGCCGGTAGAGTTTCCCGCTCTCCACGGTGGCGGGGGCATCGGCGATGGCGCTGACCAGCTTCTGCAAGTTGAAGTTCATGGCAACCTCAAAGGCGGCGGTTGCAGGAGAGTGAGGCCCTGTAACTGATATAAATACATAAATAAACAAATAAATATGTATCTATATATGTATGCATATATATATATACTTTAAAAAAGGGGAATAAAAACGAATAAATATACAAATATAATCAAATAATAAATATAAGTACACAAACATAAACATAAAAATGAATAAATATATGTATAAACATGTATAAACGTTGTACATCTAATTTTAAAGCTTTGAAATGTTTTTAATGGATTGGTATGGATGTACGGATTCATGACATGTTAGGCGCGGGAAACGCGGCAAAAGTTTTGGTCCGAGAGGCGATGACCACCAAATAGCCTCGGAAAAGCGTTTCGGAAAAGCACGCCCCAATTCATGGCTGATCGGCTGATCTTGGAATCTTGGAATATCCAAAACAAGTACCCTCTGGTAAACTAACATAGCTATGGAAAACCACCAGTTTTAATGGGAAAACTCACTATAAATGACCATTTTCAATAGCAAACTGTTAAATTACCAGAGGGTATCATGGATACCGTCATGGATACCCTACTGGCCCTGTACTGGGCCGGCAATGCGATCTTGTTTTGCTCTTTTGTGGGAGCTGGCTATGAATTTTGCCCACCGTTTCTGGCTGGAAATTCACCAAGGTTTACACGGCTTGCTTTGCATCTGGTGAAAGCATGAAAAATTCACCGGGCATGAATTTTGCCCAATGATATTGCCTCAGTCTGAGGTTCTACCTGACATTGTTCAAGTAGACCAACGTGTCAACTGGGAAATAGCTGTTTAAGAATATATTCAGTTATGATCCACTGTACTATACCACAATGCGCCTTTCTTTACCCTTGAGTTAACCCCATGAACGCAACATCAACTGGATGGTGAGTTGTTGCCTCCAATGTGTTTTTGCCCCCTAGTCTAAGCCTTTAACCCGTATGCATATGTCAGCCGTGTCTAGGTCAAAACATGGTGTATGGATTGGGGTTCTTTCTGATGCGTATACTGATCCCTGTTAATGGATTGAGGACCACCCCCTTGTATAACCCAGGTTTTGACCATGGCCATATGTCCGTTTCTCCAACCAGCATCAACCAGCCCATATTCCAAGGGGCACAAGGCATGCAGAATGTATCTGCTCAGCTGGTAGCCGCTGCAAGTGGATGGGGTGGTGCATGCCACCTGGCTGGGGCATCAGGAGGCTAGCCGATGATGTGAAGCTTGGTGCTACGGTCCCATCTACTGTACAGTAGCAGATGGCAGTCTGGAGGATCTGGAGGCACTGCTGATGTGACCCCCAGATACCCCCAGCCCTTGGATCGCTCTTGATTTTGGCACCTGAAATACTCCCAGGTAGAAGGAGATGATGGAGATTGCCACCTGTCCAGGGACTGAAATTGGGATCGCTGCTTCTCGATTGCACGAGACAACAGCAACAACAACCTCGCGATCTTCCTAAGGAAAGCTACACACGCGGCAGTCTCCAAACATTGATCTCGAACTTGGAATTCTCGATATATCTCTAGATGCATCGGAACCTCCATCAAATATCCACACGATGCATCCTCCATACACCCCTTTTGAATAAAGAAAATTGCCGAAAACCGCTGCACACTTCATCTTTGTTTCACAACGCTCCCATCCCTGGGAAGCCAATTTACAACCCGCAACCAGATCCTAGATAGTTATCATGTTTGGCCCCGTTGATTCCAATGATCTTGCTGACTGTCCGGCATGCGCATTTGTTGTGGGTTCACCCGTCCAATCCGAGGGTTTATCACCATGTTCCAGATTAAAATACTTCATTTCAGGACACACCCAATATATCCCAATATCACATCATTATCACATATCATTATGTATGGTTATCATACACATCCCATTTTATAGTATGTTAATGTATTTTATCATATCTTATCCCCATGAATCCCATCCAGGCACCGCGAAACGGATCTCAGAGATGTCCAAATGAGGTCTCAGCACCTGGCGTCACAGTGAGGTCACATTTGTTCAACCACATTTATATACTTCCACACTTTGTTATATAATCATACTATATATATTATATATTTTATATATATATATACATGTCTTTATATGCCTGTGTGTGTGTGGGATATGCCACGAATGGGGGGCTTGCGATCACCAGGGTTACTGACCAGTTGCTAAGTGGGATGATCCTCCAGAGATGTTCATGGGGACCATGGTGGATTGTCAAATAGGCTACGGTACTGAATGAAATGCCGGTTCTGATAGAGATCGTGGGTAATAATGATCCCCATTCAACCAATTGTAGCATATATATATACTTATATCGAGTTATTCATTTATTTCTGTATAAATTATTATTAACTGTGTGTGTGTGATCCTGCTTAAACTAGCTTAGCTGGTTGATAACAGTTCTCAGTTCTCGTACTGTAGTAGCGGATTTATACTAACCTCCGTTGAACTAGGAAATCCCCCTTGATGACTGCCATCCCGGCTCCCCAAGATTGCCTTCCAGCCCAGGGAGATCAGAAGAAACATCATGAGCTCTGAAATATCTTGCACCTGAACCAGATCAGGTCCCCTGGAGTGAAGCTGTCGAAAAGCTTGAGGCATTGCTGTTACTCTCCAGCATGGCTTGAATTAGAGGGAAATCTACTGGAAACATCTGGAAACCAGCTTTACTCCAAAAATCTCCACAATATATCCGGAAAAAAAAAATACATCTTGAAAACTCCCTTTGAACGCCAACTCTCCCGAAAATCTGCTTGGAACATCAACGTTCGTAGCTCCAAAATCACTGGGTCCCAGGGTCCCAGGGCCTTGCCAAAGAGCTGCCAGAGGATCTCGGCAAAGGTCGACTCTTTGCCATTGAGGCCCACCAGGAAGAAGTCCAGCCACTGCAGCCTTGGGTCATCGATATGGGAATGTTCACCAAAGATCCTCACATATCACATCATATCACTAAAATATACGAAACACTAGCTTTGAAAGTGAAAGTTTGTGAAGTATGTGAAAGTGGTCGCTTTGAAGCGCGCTTTGCGCTTCGCAGCCCCCGGAATTTGGAAGTTGAGCCGCATCATGACCAAACCACGTAGAAACAGCACCAGGAAAAGGAGGCTATGGAGCGCTGTGCTGCGGAGCAAGCTCCAGGAAAGCAGAAGAGCAGTGACCTGGGCATGCACGTGCCGTGAGGGCAAGGATGAAACTATTGGTAACTATGAAACAATGGGATTATAATGGGATAAGCCATCTACCAACTGGCGCAGGATTTCGCAACCATCCAGAGTATGAATGAGGATGAGGATCTTGATGAGGGCGGTGAAGATGGTAATGACGAGGATGACGGTCTCAATGCTTGCAATATGTTGCAATGCTGATGCGGAAGAAGCTGGAGAATCTCTCAGGACCATTCCAGTTTTGCTAACTTCAACCCACCCCTGAGATATCCTGAAATGTATTTCTTGCAATCTTTTTCATACAGGGCTTGGAATTTTACGTGTGGCTTGGACATGACAAGTGATCCCACCTGCCAAATAAAAAGCCATCCTTAGATGGGATCCCGAAATTAATAGGCCCGCCACTAAACCGCAGCCACTATCCTTTCCCCTTCCCATTTCCTTCTCCAGTGGTAGTGGCGATGCGATGCGCCACCAAACTTGTTGGCGTGTTTTTTGTTTTGCCAGTTCTGATCATCCCACAGTTCCAGGACTGGAAATATAGAACGTATAGAAAATGAAAATGTCAGGTCTGCAAAAATGAACCGGAGAGAATGGAAAGATGTTTCAAACATAAACCAAATAAACATATAAATCAGCACATAAAATGTGATTCATATCATGATTACAGTAATATGGATTGATGAATTCAAAAATATATTATATATATATATATAATTCAAGTCACCAACCCATATTACCAAATGGGTCCAGCTGCTGCTGCCCAGCTGCTAAGTACACCCCGGCAGCCAGGCCCAAGGCCCACGGCACGTCGATGTCCTGCCAACGTACGGCCAAGGTACGGCCAACGTGGCCCTGGAAAAATGGGGGATGATCTGATGGGTGGAAAAAAGTGCTAAGTAAATCTAAGGGAACCATGGTATTGCCCAACATTTTCGGGGATTTTTCGTAATTTTAGTGGAAGGTTAAGACGGTTACGAGAATCCCCAACTTTTTTCAATGATTTTAGGGGAGTTAAGTGGCAATTAAGAATCCTAAAGTCAGCAAATACCTATATATATATATATGGACATGAAAAAGGACGGTATCGAAGGGTAAACTCTTGGGCTTTGTGCGAAAGATGGAGTTGATTCTCTCCGTTTTGTGGACTTGGAACACCCTACTTTCCAGACAAAACCACATCAAGGGGTTTCGTGACATTCAAATGTGCTATGATTTGCGGGCATTTGGCTCCCTGCAGCATCCTCACCATCACATACATGCCCCTGCTGCCACAAGAATCCATGAGACATATTCATATCTAATGACAACCGCTTTGGACGGAAGCTGCAGGCTGGAGTTCGCTAAGCAAGAAAGTCTTTGCCAGGTAGCCCCGTGGCCACTTCTCTATCTCAATAATGTCAACCCTGGATTCAGATGATTCAGAAACATGGATTAATTATATGTATATATATATATAATGGGTATATACCGCAACGAGGGGTTTACTCATCCTGCAGGGGAAGCTGGCCATTGCCCGGATTCTCAAAGGTCAGTTGCCCGTGCACGTCGATGGAGCTCCGGAGTGCGGAGACCAATAGCACCTTGGCAAACGGATAACGGGGTACCTCAAATCATCCCAAAAAAAATAATGGTGGTGAGACAGTGCCACAAACCACCCCATTTTTGATGGTTCATACTTATGGTGATGACTGGGATGGTTTATGATTGTTTTAACCACATTGAACCATGTAGGTATTGAAGCCAATTGTTTTTGGGATCTCCCATTGAACACCCATTTTGCAATCATGTTGAATCCCTGAAGATTCTAAAGCTTCTGGTGTCATCTTCCGTTTGTCAACGCTTGTCAACATCGCACAACGCATTCCCAGGTGCAGTGTATCGGTTTCGTCCACCATTGGACTCCTGGGCAAATCCACGGTGCTGGTGATTCCCCGGGCCATGGTAAAACTCAGGCCTGATCATACGGGTATTGGCTCAGTAATTGGCTGCAAAATGGGGTGGATTACTAGCTGCTAGCTTTTCAATGCTGTCCATTGAAATCCAGGCTTCAAAGTTCCGCAGGTTTCTTGAACAGTTTCCGAAAAATCAATCTCATTTTGTGATATTTGGATATAACTGGTGTGCCCCAAGAAATATCAACAACATTCAACAACTATCCATAGAGATCCATAGAGGATACGAGGTTCTCCCAGTCCAGGCCTCTACCCGAAAGGTGCCCTGCAGGTGATCCCATAGGACACCACGCCAGGAGCTCACCAGGTAGGCGTTGAAGGGGTCCTTCGCCTGGGAACTTCAGCTCCGAGGTCCATCGTGGCACCCGAAAACGGCTCTTTGTTGACAGAAAACGACACCTTTACTAAACAATCGATAAATGACTCATCCGATTATTCAAACAATTGCCGTGTTGCCTGGTAATTCATCCGTTTTGGATCATTTTTTTTCCATTTATCCATTGCCAGGTGAGGTTTATCATCGTTGATCCCCCCTTTTTTCGCCTCCCGGCCTGCGGCTGAACCCCCGTCAGGGGCGCCATCTCAGTGGTTCGCCACTGGAGCCACTGGCCATAGGACAGGATCATCAAATAGGTATCGTTGGCCGGATGCCCTTGAGGCGACATGGGGATAACCTGTCCCTGTCTGGCAAAATTGTGTCGTTTACCCTCTGGTAAACATACAAATAACTATGGAAAATCACCATGTTTAATGGGTAAATCCACTATAAATCACCATTTTCAATGGGGATAACATGGGGATACAATCTGAGTAAAGCAATAGGATCCACCATCCTCAATGACTTTTCTCAATTGTATGGTAGTATGGAGGGGTAAAAACCTATCAAAATATGGGTGGTTTTTTTAGGACAATTGGCAGCCTATAAAGTGCCATCAACGATAGTGCCATCAATGATTAGTGGCTGAAACTTTTACCCCCCAAGAGGTCACCCTCTTGGAAGGGAACATGATGATAAACCATGGCTAAACCATGACTGGTTGGTGGGTTTAACCATCTTGAAAAACATTAGCCAATGGGAAGGATTATCCCACATATTATGGAAAATAAAAAATGTTTGAAACCACCAACCAGATTAAATTTGGAGGTCCCCTACTTTTTGGACAAACACGCATCACTGACTTATGATGAGAATGTTGAGATGTAAAAAGAATCGATGACCATCCGAATGTAGTGGGTATATGTGGGTATGGAGTGTTTCCTTGAACACAAATATGGTGCTTTCTGGTAGAGTTCCCCAAAAACCACAAGTTGTGAGGACCTGGGGATGAAAGCAACAAGTTGTGAGGGGAAAATCGTGGAAAATGTGAACAAAGACATCGTGGTTTCCATTTCGTGGGAGAAATTGCTTGGAGAAGAGGTGCTCAGCATTCCCATTCTGAAGAGGGGGAAGTTCTCTTCACCCAACAGGATATCTAAAATAGACCATCTAACGGGCTGTGTGATGCCCACCAGTTGGACCCCGTATGCCCGTATGCCCATCTCCGGCCCCCCTAAAAAACACCCAAGATTCGGTTTTGGAGGTCAATGGTAATAGTTCCACCCAGTTCCAGGCCATATTCGACTTCCTGGAGTCGGAGTTGCCAAGAAATGCACCATGAAAGGTAAAGATTGGCCGTCTGCACATGAACGTCATGAACACCACGTGCATATGGTGGCAAAACAGGCTGGCCAAAGCATTTCTTACTTGTGTAATTTGGATGGTATCTTCCACGGGGAGCTCAGACCGGCTCAGACCTGTATCCACTCAAATCATTTGATTAGATTTCACGGTGCCGAATCTACGAGAAATCGACTCCTGACCCTTTCCCTCCAGGCTGCATTATTCAGCCGTGCAGCCCATCACTTCCAAGCTCTATGTCTCCAACGTGCAAAAAAAAAACAATTATCAGAATTCCCAAAATATTCAGCCAGCACATCCAGGGTTTAACATGTTTAACGGTTTCCTGCAAATCTTCCCTTAAATCAATCCATTGAAATCAATCCAACCCCCTGAAAAATCAGCACCTTAGCAGACCTTAGCAGCTTCGTCCCCGTTTCCCTGGGTGGCCCAGCCAACTCTTTGACCAGGTGGTTGTTCATTTGGAAGTCAACCTCACCACGACCACTTATTTGGCGGAGAATATACTCTTCCAACCTCCATTCGGCAGGATGCCCTGGTTACATCAGGTTACCCTCTGGTAATTTAACATAGCTATTGAAAATGGCCATTTATAGTGAGTTTTCCCATTAAAAATGGTGATTTTCCATAGTTATGTTAAATTACCAGAGGGTACTTGGAGGACGGGTAAATCAATCAGTTGGGATTTCTAATTTATTCTCAGCTCGGAAGGAGAATGAAATACGCAAGCACCATCAAGCACCAGATTGGGAGATGGTACAGCTGGTACATGCTGGTGCACCAGCTGGGGGCATTGCAAACCAAACTAGGGGGAGCTTCTTTAGTTGCTACCAATACTGTAATCAAATCCAGTAGGTTTGGCACCAGCGATGTGCTAGCTTTGGGCGAATGTCCGTTCATTTTTGGGTAATCATCCACACTACTTCTATGAAGGCCAGTCCCTCTTTGAGCTCCAGCCTGGGAGTTTTTCCTGGACGTTGATAGGAAAACGACCATGAAATTCTAGCCCCCTAAGTCCTGGTATTGTCCTTCGTCCTTCACCCCTCTGCCCCTCTTTGCTCAACCCCTTTCCAAACCATGCTACGTCCATGTGAATCCCCATCAGTAACCCACATTTTGGTAAGCTAAACCCATCTAAATCCAGAATTTGCGGCCCACTTTTGGTCAGTCCAAAGCGCATCCTTGACCAGCGCCTCGCAGAGCACGATGGCGCACCATGCCTGTGCGATGTGCAAAGCCTGCATTGTCATGTGGACATATCTGTACTGTCCGTTATATATCTATCAAATCTACGTGAATAAAATCGCTTGTTTATTATCCGTTTATCTTCATTTATCTACTACTTCGGATAATCTACTCCAAGCTTTTCTGTCCTCAAAATTGCTGGCAGGCTGCCTGCAAACATCTCCGCAGCATGGACAGTGTCACCGGGGCACCATGGCAGGCCCCACAAAGGCTTCCCTTCGAAAAGGGGGGCCCGTGCCCATGTCACCAGGTGCTTGAAACCCAGATGGGTTAATGGTTTATAATTCCCTATAACTAAGTGGATTGTATTGGACTAAATCATACTAAATCCCGATTATAGCCTCTAACTTGGATTTAATGGATATAATCCTCTTACAGGCTTACAGTCTTGGAGTAACTCTGATAAAATGGGTTAGATTCCAGCATTTGCGTGACAAATGGATCAAAGCTCTAAGACTCGTTTTGCACATCTTCACACCTCCGTTTCGGTGGACCAAAGTCTAGTTGACAATTACTCTGAAGAAGTCTGAGGAACAAAATCTAGAGTACCAAACCCGTATCCACTTTGTTCTCTTAAACTTCTGGTCACTTGCGAGCTGCAGGCGAATGCAACGGAGTTCAGTGGTCTCAAATTTTGGACAACTGCAGGGGACCTGGGAGCTGACACATCCTCAAAATCACCTTTTTTCGTTTGAAAACGGCGTATACCTGGAAGATCATCCCCGTAAGGACATGGTTTCACTGCCTGACCTACTTCATCCCCTCCTGGCGATAGCCTTCTGTTGAGATGATCCAAGTGTTCTGAGCTCATGAGTTGAGTTTGTCCGTTTGTCCCGACGAAAATCTAGCAGTCTCACCGTCTCACCTGGGAAAAACTGGCGCTCGGCAGTCAACCATCTTTTCCCGCTAAGACCCGAGTGGAGGCCACAGGCTACTGCAACTAACACCTCAAGACTGTCTGCCAGCGCAATGGCCGTCGACACAGGCGCACCAGTGGACATGTCTTGTTTCACCGGCATGAAACGTAAAGCTCCGTCCGTCTGTGATGGAAGGGTCAAGCCTGGTCAAAACCTACAGAACCAACACGCATGAAACCTAAACTTCCAGCAAATATTCTTCCAATTGTTCATTCCGTTCAAAAGGGAACACCTGTCTTGATCCGCATTGCACTGGAGACTGAAACAGTTTGAGGCCTCGAATTAGTCAGCGACCCATTGAGAAACCGCTGCTGGGACCAGCAGTCCCACCATGACAGGCATTGGTCCTATTGGTCCTACTGGTCCTACTGGTCCTACTGGTCCTACTGGTCCTACTTGTGCAAAAGGAACTATAGTCCCAAACAACTCTCATGGAATTGTGGGATTAGATAAGACCATCATTGTGGGAGTATACCAAGCTATCTACTTAGTTATGGGATGTGTTGGATGGTCAGTGGTAGGTCGTCAGTGTCCCATCAGATGAGCCGTCTCCGCTTCGGAGAAAAAAAAACGTCGCACTGCCTGAACGTCTGATGCATCTCAACGTCGCTTCTCAGACCTGCGCTTCGCAGTACGGTGATCTCTGGGGAGACCTGAAAGATGTAGACCAGAGTCCGCAACTGATACGGACAAAGTGTTCGATTGCAACTTATGGGGGCCTTCATTATTCCAGCATTAGCGTTATTAATGTAAATTCACCTTGATTGACGTAGAAAATTAGCGTTATGAATATTTATTAGCGTTATGAGTGTTATTTCTATGTATAGTAGTGTTATTAATGTTTATTAGCATTTAAAAATATGTTCTGAAAAAATTCAGTTTTTTCTAGTTGAATAAGAATGTTCACCATTTTGTTCCTGGTTTGTTGTCTATAGAATCAAAGTTAATTCTCCATGCATGGAGCGTCACTGCCATGAGACAACAATAGAATATGAACCCAATAACGAACATAATATGAATCAATCCCGTAATGATGTACAGCTTAACGTGCCAAATCAGAAAACACACTAAGGAATACAGGAATGTCGTGTGCTGAAGGTTCCCATCTAATGCAATCTAAAAAGTGCATGTTTATAGTGACCCGGTAAGACATGGTAACACGTCGTTTTGATCCAGGCGTCCCGGCTTTTGGGGCACGCTGGGATTTGGCCCAAACCCCCTTGTGTAAATATACATCTATCTATCTCTATCTCTATCTCTATCTCATCTCTATCTCTCTCTCTCTCTATATCTCTATCTCTAACTCTATCTCTCTCTATCTCTATCTCTATCTCTACCTCTATCTATATCTATCTATATATCTGTCTATCTGTCTATCTGTCTACCTGTCTACCTGTCTATCTGTCTATCTGTCTATCTGTCTATCTATCTATCTATCTATCTATTTAATTATATTTATCTATCTTATCCTATCCTATCTTATCTTATCTTTCTTATCTTATCTTGCCTTATCTTATCTTATCTATCTTATCTTATCTTGTCTTATCTTATCTTATACTTTCTTATCTATCTATCTATCTTATCTTATCTTATCCTAAATATCTATCTGTCTTTCTTCTTTCTTTCCTTCTTTCTTTCTGTCTTTTTTTGCTTTCTCTCTGTCTATCTGTCTATCTGTCTATCTGTCTATCGGTCCATCTGTCTATCTGTCTATCGATCTATCTATTTATCTACCCTATTCTACCCTATTCTATCCTATTCTATCCTATTCTATCCTATTCTATCCTATTCTATCCTATTCTATCCTATTCTATCCTATTCTATCCTATTCTATCCTATTCTATCCTATCTATCTTATCTATCTAATCTATCTAATTTATCTAATCTATCTATCTATCTATCTATCTATCCATCTATCTATCCATCTACAGTATGTATCTATCTACAGTATCTATCTACCGTATCTATCTACCGTATCTATCTACAGTATCTATCTACAGTATCTATCTACAGTATCTATCTATCTATCTATCCATCTATCTATCCATCTATCTATCTATCTCTCTCTCTCTCTCTGTCTGTCTGTCTGTCTGTCTATCTGTCTATCTGTCTATTTGTCTATCTGTCTATCCGTCTATCTATCTATCTATCTGTCTGTCTATCTATCTATCTATCTGTCTATCTATCTATCTATCTAACTATCTATCTATCTATCTATCTGGCCAAATTACTTTAATTCTTACCTCGTCTCCCTCGTGTCTTAATTTGTTCCCCATGATTACTGTCCTCGTTCGTTAATTTGCAGGTGCAAATTAAGGCTTTACCTCGTTAATTCGAAGGAAGAAAGTAGCTTGTGGGCCTTCTTTCCAGGGTCCAACCCCAAGGGAAAAAAACTTTTCAGTTTCCGAAAAGTTTTTTTCCACGATCCACGGTCTCTCGCAGGGATTTTTAAATCTGAGTCTGATCGGTCTTTGCGCTTCTTGCGCTTGGGTGGTGACATCTCTGACATTATCGCAGAGATGCAATGCTCTTCTGGAGCAACTCTGAATCCTACTGCTTCTGCAGCCGTCAACCCACGAAGCGGGCCTCTGGCGATAGAAAATAAAACTGTTTGGGGCCTGAAAAGAGTTTTTTCCTTCCTTGCCTGCTGACTGGCCTCTGGCGATAGAAAATAAAACTTTTTGGGGCCTGAAAAGTTTTTTTTCCTTCCTTGCCTGCTGACCGGCCTCTGGCGACAGCAAATAAAACTTTTTGGGGCCTGAAAAGTTTTTTTTCCTTCCTTGCCTGCTGACCGGCCTCTGGCGATAGAAAATAAAACTTTTTGGGGCCTGAAAAGTTTTTTTTCCTTCCTTGCCTGCTGACCGGCCTCTGGCGATAGAAAATAAAACTTTTTGGGGCCTGAAAAGTTTTTTTTCCTTCCTTGCCTGCTGACGGCCTCTGGCGATAGAAAATAAAACTTTTTGGGGCCTGAAAAGTTTTTTTTTCCTTCCTTGCCTGCTGACCGGCCTCTGGCGATAGAAAATAAAACTTTTTGGGGCCTGACAAGTTTTTTTTCCTTCCTTGCCTGCTGACCGGCCTCTGGCCCCCAAAAAACTTTTTCTAGCCAAGCCCAAGCATGCAACAGAACCAATGCAAGGCTACCTCGTCGAGGTCGGCTAATTCTGATGAGCAAATTAAGGGCTGACCTCGCTAATTCCTGCAACCTGCCTCGTCGCCTCGGCTGTCCTCGCTATAATTTGTGCAGATCTATATTTGCCTCTGTGTGCGTGTGTGCATTTATGTCGTGTATGTACACATATATAAATATATATGTATATATATATATATGTATATATATATATGTATATCTATGTGTGTGTGTTCTGTGTATGCATATGTATATGTGTGTGTGCGCGCATAGGTATAGGTATATGTCCCACCGCCTTCGCCCAAAGTTTCATTGTGGGGTTAGTTACTTTAGAGAAATTATTTTCTGTTGTTTTTCGCGTTTATTTGGGTTGGTTTAGACCTTCTTTAGGGTTGATGTGGGGGGTTATTTGGGGTGTTTTAGATAATGTTTGGGGGCTATTGAGGGTTGGTTTGGGCTTCATTGAGGGTTGTTTTAATGTTTTTGATGGTTGATTTTGGGTTTATTTAGCATTGAGTTATTTTGTGGTTCTTTTAATGTTTTAAGGTATGTTGAGGCTTAAATCCTCTATGATTGGTGGATCCCCCATTGATTGGGGTACCCCCGGGTACCCCGCCCATTCATAGGAAACCTCCATACGTGGCATCCAGTTTCACCACCATCGCCTCCAGCGGCTGCTGACGCCACTGCTGGGGGAGGACTTGCCATTCAGCGCTTGTGGCGAAGGTGTCAAGGTCTCGGCTTCCTCTGCACCGGCTGGAGCCGGGTCCCTGGGTCTTGGCTACCAAACAAATAGCCAAATGGACCTCCAAAAACCGATGAAACTTGAAAACACTTGACATTGCGAAATGAACCCGCTTGACATGCGGAAAAAAAATCGAAGTAAAGGATTCTGACATATGGAGGTGTCCAAAGTCATGGAGATACCCAAAAATCATCCAAGTCATGGATGACCATGACTTAGTATTGAAACAACCATGGTGACGACTGGGGACCCCCCATGACTTCAGAAAATTCAGCGACTCGCCTCATCCTCTGCAATGGTCGACTGCAAGGACTTGGACATCTGCGCCACCACCTGCAGGGACCAGATATATGGATGACATATGGATGACATATGGATGACATATGGATGATATGATATGTGTGTGTGATATGGTGTGTATATATATATATATATGTGTGTGTACATATGTGTGTGTATATGTATGTGTATATGTATGTGTATATGTATGTGTATATGTATGTGTATATGTATGTGTGTGTGGTGATGTACATATATTATTAATATGTATATATATATATATGTGTGTGTGAATGATAAATGGATGAGATAATCATGTATAGAATTATTTATAAATGATGTGGGCATAGATATGAACAATTATACTATACAGAGGGAATGATGTAGATATTGATTGCGTGTGTGTTTGTCGGAGGGTTGTCTTGTCTCATCCTATCCACAGGGGCAAGAAATCGTTGGTAGTTAGCGCCAAGTTCTGAAAAGAAGTTCCAGCAGCAATTTTTGAGCGCGCGCGCTCTGTGAAACCTAAACGCACGTGCTTTACAATCAGCTGGCACGTGCACAGCTGTAGGCCGTCCCCAGAACTCCCTGGCTGCCTGTGAACCGAGGGAGTCAAGAAACCTAGCTGTACAAGCCTTGGATTCAGTAAGGATCTTCATATCACCCTCTTGGATGACTCTGCCACAAAGTAACCGTTGATAGAGCTAGAAAGCCTTCAATTTTTCGGCACAACCCCGGAAAATTGTTTTGCAACCACAGCTGCCAACCACTTCGCTTGCTCATGCGAGTCCCTGGGACGGGGCAATATACGATGACCCTTTTAAAACATTCCCAGCCCTGCTGCACCAAAACGTCAGGGCCCTGGGACTTACGCGCCGCCTCTGCTCTACACCAACTATGCCTTCACGGCCAAACCCAGCTCCCAGCGATTCACGGGGAAGTAAAGTCCAAATTTCCAGGAATGCAGCTCCTTGACCAAGGGAACACTGGAAACCCTGGGAACCCTGAAAGCTGCTAGGAACTTTGGGATTTTTCGCGACAAGTTGGATCCCACAGGAAAATAGACCTCCTTGGAACTCAGCTTAGTTGTTGGGTCCCTGCTCCCTTTGGGTTGGGATGAGCTGGCCAAAAAGATCAGAATTCTCTATCCCAAGAGTGTGATGGTTTGAAATATCGAACTGAATCACACTGAATGATTTTGATGTAATGTGGTAAACCCAACAGAAAACCATCCCCAATATTACCATAGATGGGTGGTATGAACCATCCCCAAATGGGATGTTTATGGCATTGGCTTTACCACATCCACCTGCGGACGTCCATCTTCCATCCCCTCGGAGCCTTCACCCAGCGCTGCTGCCTCAACTTGCTGATGGAGTCGCGATTGCAGTGACACAGCCTCAGCTACCATCATTGCTAGTGGTTTCACCAGCACAAAACTGGATTTACCTATAACAACTTGAATTTTTGGTGGGTTTGAGCTATGTTCAAAGAAAAACGGATTGAAGATGATTGAAACAGCACATTTGATATTAGATTGGGTAAGTTTGGGGGAGTGTTTCGAGGACAACCATTCTATACTACTATACCATTGTTTTGGGGTGTGTTTGGAGTGTTTGGATGACAAGAATAGGGGATCCGATTCGTACCATTTCACTACAACATCTACAACGCATGATGTTTCAGAAAATAGCTGTCAAATGTCTGATGCTTGTGGCTAGCATGAACAGTTTTTCTTGATTGCAAATGTCCAAGATGTCCTTTTCATATCCCATCATTTTCCCAGCTCATATCCACATCCATATCCACTGTATCCATCTATATTTCCATATTACCCTCTGGTAATTTAACATAGCTATGGAAAATTGCCATTTGTAGTTGATTTACCGTTTACCCATTAAAAGTGGTGATTTTCCATAGTTATGTTAGTCTAGCAGAGGGTAATCTATATCCCCATTACTTTTTATTTCCTCCCCCATGGGTGGATCCGGGCGCATCCGCCGCGGCGCCAAAAGGGCGAGGCCAGGTGCTGCAACCACCGCAGCATGGCCGAGGACGTCAGCGTGTGCTCTGAGAAGTAGACGCGGCCGCCCGGCTTCAGCAGGCGATCCACGTGGCGGAAGATCTCCTGGGGACAATGGTATCTGTGAAGACGGGTATAATGGGAACATATGATAATATATTTTATACATATATATATATACTGGGGAATATAATACTATATATATACTGGGGTCAAAGTCATTGGGTATCCCAATCATTGGAGGGTTAATACATGTTCATACTAGAGATAGACTAAGCCATCTGTGTTTCCCCAGGTCTTTCATTTTGACCCATATCCAAATAAAGGGGGGGAGTTGACCATGGGAGGAGTTGATGATGAAGATCTCAAGACCATATCTTTGATAAGATATGAGCAAGACTTCTTTTTGAAGACTCAAATCAATAGATGTACTCAAACACTGTTCAACGACTTTCAGGGCGGGGTGGTTCCAGATCAAGGGTCAAGATCATGGTGGTTGATAGATGAGGATGATGAGGATGATGAGGATGATGAGGATGAGAGGATGATGATGATGATGATGATGGTGATGATGATGATGATGATGGTGGTGATGGTGATGGTGATGGTGATGGTGATGGTGATGATGATGATGATGATGATGATGATGATGGTGATGGTGATGGTGATGGTGATGATGATGATGATGATGATGATGATGATGCTGATGGTGATGATGATGATGATGATGGTGATGAGGATGAGGATGAGGATGAGGATGAGGATGAGGATGATGAGGATGAGGATGAGGATGAGGATGATGGTGGTGGTGATGATGGTGATGGTGATGGTGATGGTGATGGTGATGGTGATGGTGATGGTGATGGTGATGATGATGGTGATGGCGATGGTGATGATGATGATGATGATGATGGTGGTGATGATGATGCTGCTGCTGCTGCAGCACCCGAAAAAGAGTCTGAATTTGAATCAGTCGTTCTGAATCCTCTATGTTTTAATATGTTGGCCCCAAAAACATAGTGTGAAGGGCTGGTTGTCGGCATTGGAGTCCTCCGGAACCGCCGGCGGCGTGCCAACCAGCCATTTCTGGAGCCGATTCCCCGATATCAATGGTTTGTGAAGGGCTTCTCATCGTTCGCCCCATATGGATTTGCCCAGAAATGGGGCATCCCAAAATTTCACTTGTGTGCCATTTCTTTCCAGGGGTGTACTGCACGTTATTGCGGAGAGAAACCCCCATGTGATATGTTCGGTTTATGCATCACCATACCCTTGCATCCTTGTATCACCATACCGTCATGGTGTGCATTTCAAAACCCCAAATTGGCGGGTATATAGTTCCCCTTTCTAATTATCTGACGGCTAAATCATGCCTAGTCGCTTTTTTTTTGGTACCTCAATCTCCATCCAGGGTTTTAAAACCCCGCGGCCTCTTGATCTGGCACTTCGCACAAGACGTTTCCAAAGACCACGCAGTCGAAAACCTCTTGGCCTGGAAGGTCCTGGAGCTGGGACGATCTGTTGAGAGGGTGTTGTTGGGACACCGGGGTGTAATCCCACATCGATATCTAAATGTTGTTGGGACACCGGGGTGTAATCCCACATCGATATCTAAATGTCTATATATATATAATTATATATATCTCTCTCTCTGTGTTATATATACAGCACATATTTACGGATAGCAACCCCCAAAGAGAGACAGAAGTATAGAAAAGTTGTTCAGTTTTGGAATCCAATGTTACTTTTTTGCGCCTTTTTGGGGGTTGCTTTGTGTATATTTGTATGTATGTGTGTATAATTATCTCTCTCTCTCTCTGTGCGCGTCTGTATATATATATATATATATGTACATATCCAGGGATCATCCCAGCATGAAAACCCTGCAAAGTTTGCTTGAGGCCAATTACATCAGCTTCTCATCAGGCAGGAGAAACTCTTTGGAGAGCATCACTGCTGAAAGAAGGGCCATCAGTCCACAGTGATTGACTACTTAACAGCTCTTAACTTTAATTTCCATTTTTTTTTGCATAATCCCCCGGTGTCATCAATGAAATCAATGGAGTGGGGTAGAGAAGCATCAACCACCTTCCGTTGGATCATCTTAGGGGCTGACTAGCTCCAGAATCTGCCTGGATCAGCGTTTCGCCCTTTTCGCCCCGCCAACGTCAAGGCGGACCGCACCACTTGGCACAGCTTGGATGACCCGGGGAGTCGCAAGTCCCAGGTTCGGGGTTTTGCTACCTGCGTTCCCATGCGCAAGCAATGCAGATGGTTTTTCCCAGGGTTTGCATGCAAACGATGTTGGGTAATTACAAGAAGCATGGTCCAAACGGGCACGGCGGCATGGTCATTGGAGTCATCCAGGGCTAATCAACTCTCTAAGGCTTCAAGTGAGACCTCCCGAGGGATGAGTCGCTCGCCCAGTAACTGCCACATCTCGGGTTGCTTCAGCACTGCTTGTTCCAGCAGCCGAACCCTGAAAACAATCCCAAGTTGGAACGGAGGGAGGGGAGGGCCAGCCTGGATGGATGGATTGATGAGAACACTTAATTGCCATGCTTGAACCGGATCCAGCATGTCAAAGATGTCCAGGGTAAAATTCAGGTCACAGGCCTAACCAACATCTTCACAGATAGCGTTTTTGCACAATTTTTGCGCTCCAGCCTCTCTGCCAAGGCTTCAAACATCAAGAGGAACATTGCAACCGCACAAAGCCTCAAAGGAATTGCTGCTTTCTCCAACAGTACTGTAACAGTTCCTATCTGCTTGGAAACCATAGAGCTGAAGAAGCTCTGGCCCCTTCCTCCCACTGTTTTACGCCATTTTGGAAGGGCAGTCGGACTTTTTTGTGGCTTGATGTACCAACAGTTGGATGGGTTTTGCCTAGTTATACGTCAACAAACATTACCTAGTTCAAGCTAGAATTATGTATTGCAGTCGCAGGTTTCGACTGGAAAATGCAAAAATAACAAAAAAATGCCAAGAAAAAAATGTGAAAAAAATAGCCCAGGCAGAAAAAATGCAAAAAACAAGCGCAATGGAAAAGTAATGATTTGGAAAACAAAATGTAAGTTTGGCAAACTGACAAAGCGTATTTTAAAAACAACACAACAAATACATCAAAAACAAAAGTGCTTTCAAACCCAGACTGCACGGCCCCTTAGACAGAAGCGAACAAGTAAAAGATTCTTTAAAAAATGAAATGTTAGTGCTTATTGGGAATGGTTGCACTTGCAGCTTGTTCATGTGTTGTTTTCGTGTATATAAATTCCTTTTGTTGCGTTCCTTCTCCCCGGTTCCTCGTCCCTCCTTCCTTTCCCTTCATCCTTTCCCTCCTCTTTCCTCCCCCTTCCTCTCCCTTTCCTTTCCTTATCTTTCCTTGTCCTTTCCGTTCCCTTTCCTTTCCCTTTCCCCTTTCTTTCCCTTTGCTCTTTCTTTCCCTTTCCTTTCCCTCTCCTTTCCTTTTCCCTTTCCTTTCCCTTATTCTTCCCTTCGTTTCTCTTTCCGTTCGGCTACTTTCCCGCCCTTTTCCCTTTTCCCTTTCCAGTCCCTTTCCCTGTCCTGTCCCTTCCCTTTTTCCTTTTCTCCTCCTTTTCTCCTCCTGTTCTCCTCCTTTTCTCCTCCTATGGCCCTACGTATCCTCCTTTTCCCGCCCCGTCTCCCTCCCTTTCGCCTCCCTTTCCCCTCCCTTTCCCCTCCCTTTCCCCTCCCTTTCCGCTCCCTTTCCCCTCCCTTTCCCCTCCCTTTCCTGTCAAGCTTGCCTGTCCTCCCCCTTCTCCGTCACTTTTTTCCACTGTTTCTGTCACATTTTTTCGCTTTCTTTTCACTGTTGTTTCACTTGTTTTCCACTTTTGTTCCATGTTTTTCACTTGTTTTTTGTTTTCCCGAAAATCGGGAAAAACAAAAAACACATGGAAAAAAAAGTGAAAAAATGGGGAAAAAAGTGGGAAAAAAAGTGAAAACAAAGTGGAAAAAAGTGAAAAAAAAGTAAAAAAAAAAACGAAAAAATGTGGAAAAAAAGTGAAAGGAAAAGTGGAAAAAAAGTGACGGGAAAAGGGTGGAAGGGGGGGGGAGGGGGATGGTGAGGAGGGCGGGAGAGAAAGGGGGTCGCAGGAGTCGCACGGGAAAGGGAATGGAAAAGGATGAGAAAGGAGGAGAAAAGGAGGAGAAAAGGAGGAGAAAGGGAGTGGAAAGGGACTGGAGAAGGAAAGGGAAGGGAAAAGGGAAAGGGAATGGAGAAGGGAAAGGAAGCGGAAAGGGAGCAGAAAAGGAAAAGAAAGGAATAAGAAAGGAATGCAAGGGGAATGGTCCGAGAAATGTGGGAAAGGGGTGGAAGGAGGAGAGATTACCGCAATTTTTTGTTTATCCCTTGAGGACAATGTTCAACATTTCTTGCCAGATTGCTTGGCTGCCCCGGCACCACTTCCTGGTGCAGTGGGGTTGTTCACATTCATGGGGGTTGCAGCTTGCAAATGGCCCGGGCTGAGCCATCCATGAGTATATAGGCAATTTACTTGCTTTCTTCTTATCTTGGTTTGCTTTCCCGGCTTCTTTTCATGCGTTTTGGCATGCGTTTGTTTCCATTGAGTTCTCCCTTTGTTTAGCTGTTGATTGCATTCACTTTTTCACTTTTTGTTTACTTTATTGTCACTTTTTTACTTTTTTAAAAAATGTGTGTGTGTTTTTATTTTGCCTATGGTTGCTTTTTCGTCACTTTTTTTCATGTTCTTTCCCTTGCGTTTCACTGTGTCTTTGCTCGTTTTATTATTTTACAGATTTCCAGTCGAAGCCTGTAACAAATTCATACAGCTAGAATTGTGAACTTGCTGTCTATAGATAGATGGGGCTGATGTCAACACCGGAGTGATAAACCCTGACTATCAATTAGGTGGCTACCCCCAAAAGAATGATAAATTACGATTCAAATTGGCACACCCCTATGGGTAAACTGGGGTCTTCTTGATCCTGGGTTAGCCCCATCAAATCCCATCTATAAAATTTAATGTAGTAGGAAAAAAATCAAATCCCAGTACCAAAACCAACAAACATAGCTGGGGGGTAGCCGTCCGCCAAGACACCGATCCTCCAAGAGGTAGCCCGGCGGCTGAAGAGTGTCACGCTGCAGCAAGCGTTCGCGGACTTCTTCCAGGATCCTGACGTCTCGCTTGGCTTGGAAAAGGTGACACCTACCCTCTAGTCATTGGCCACATAACATAGGCGTGGAAAATGGGATATAATATGGATATCATACTGATATAATGATCTAGGAAAAATAGGATAATGTGGATATATTGGACACGTAGTGGGAATATAATGAACATATATATATATATAATGACGTCTTGGGAATATAATGATACATAACCAAGAAACCATGGGGATACCCTCTGGCAATTTATACAACATAGCTATGGCATAGATGGCCTATTTAGTTCGATGATTTACCTACAACATGGATTTGCCTGTAAAAATGCGGACTTTCCATAGCTATATTAAATTACCAAAGGGTATGTGTATATATATCTCTCTCTCTCTCTGTGTGTGTGTTTCCAGGCTTGGGTGAAGTGAAATGGTACAAGAAACCCGTGTATATGTTCAACAGCATTGTTCAGCAATACTGCTGGGTAAAAAGGCTAACTTAAAATATCAATCCATTGGTAGATGGTTTGTAAGCCGTTCTTCCATACCAGGACGCCGGTGATCAGTTGTCGTCTGCAAAGGGACCGCAGGTCCTTCCCGTTGTAACAGTCAACTGAGATCCACCAAGAAGTATCTCTTCAGCCGGTAAAACCTATTAATCTAGGATGAGTTACATATAGAGGGGGGGATGAAAAGAAAAGATGCACAATGATATAGACTCTAGACACACACACACATATGTGTGTGTATATACGTATATATATATATATATATATGTATACATATATATTAAACTTTAAAAAAAAAACATAAACACATATCACCCACCACCACCACCATCCATAGCTCAGCCATAGGATCTGCGGAACGGCCAAGTCATGAAGTCGGCTAGCGATCATCAGCTGCTTCTGCAACGCCACAGTGCTGGGGCATGCGTCGTCCTGACCCGACAATTGGCTGATTTTAATGGGGAACATATGAGTAAACCAGGAAATGTGCGGGATTGCCTATTCAGGTAGATGGCTAAATGATGCTATGTAAATGGATGACAGGAGATCAGATCAAGTCAATCCAATGTGTTAGGTCGGTTTGTCTCGCAACTTTGATGGTTCGTCATTTTTCCCCCAAAATGGCCATTTGGGGGCCCAGGTAAAACAGGTGCGGTAGCAATGGCCAGGGGGCATAGTAGGACTGCCGCATCAATCCCACCGTGACATTAAAGGCTTCCATCGATCTGGAGCTCAATCTTTGGAGCTCCTGGCCAAGGTTGATGAATCCAAAGGCACCACTGCACAAAAGTGTTGATTGAGTGGGGTTCATCTTAGATAACATGTTTCAATACTTCGAAAGTTGGCATGTTCTCATTTCATATCTGTTGATGGAATCGTGAAAACGAAAGATCTTCAATCCACTTAGCCATCTTTCTGCGCAGCTGTCCTCGACAAACTCTGTATCATGGAAACTTCATGAACATCAGGGTTAGCTAGTTGGGGGCTAACATGTTTGAGGCAAAGTGAACACTCCATATGGCACATCGCAGGCTGCTGAAAATATACAAGAAAAACCACAAATTGCACAAGTTGAAGACTTCAAAGGCCTTGAACATCATGTCTTGCCCACCTGTTCACCTTCGCCAAACAAGGTAAACTTGGTCATTTCAACGTCTCTGCTGCCCATTAGGGATGACAACCAACCGTAAGTATATCAACTGTGTATGTACATGCACATTTGTATGAATATTTATTTGCGTGCATACATATATGCAGAAATGCATGTATATATATATATATTGTGTATATTATATTAAATTATATTATATTATGTATATTCTGTTCTCTTATGTTATATTATGTTATATTTTATGATATTATATTATATTATATCATATCATGTGTTTATTATTGAATTATATTATATTGTATTAAATCATATTATATCAAATCATAGTATTATTATATTATAGTATATTATATTATATTATATATTATTTTTTTTAACATATTATATTATATTTTATATTTTATTAAATTATATCATATGTTAAATATTATATTATATTATATCATACATTGTTTTTTATTATATTATATTATATGTTATTATATTATATTATATGTAATATATTATATTATATTATGTATTATGTTATATTATGTATTATATTATATTATGTATTAAATTGTATTATGTATTATATTATATTATATTATATTATATATTATTTTTCTTATATTATATATTTGTTTTTATTATATTATATTATATATTATATTATATTATATTATATTGTATCATATGTTATATTACATTATATTATATGATATTATATTATATTATATATTATATCATATATTATGTTTTATTATATTATATTATTTTATTTTATTTTATTTTATTCTATATTTTATTTTATTATATTATATTATAATTATATATATATTATATTATATTATATATTATATCATATTGTATTATATTATATTATATTATATTATATTAAATCATATTATATTATATTACATTATATTATATTATATTATATATATATATTATATTATATTATATATATATATTATTACATCCTCCCAGTTGTTACCCCCAAGGGCCTTTTTACGTGCCCAGCTCATACCGATTCCCCATTTCCCACCCCCTGGCGCCCGCAGAAAGCTCGGGGCGCCCAAAAGCACATCCACGGCGCGGCGCAAGTTGCTCTCATCAGGGGTGGAGGGCTTGGCAGTGGCACTCAGAACCGTCAAGCTCTGCCAGGATTCGTTGCAAGTGTACATCAGGTGCTGCCAGAGCTCCTGGTGCCCCAAGGATTCTTAAACCACTTAAACGACTTAAATTCAACACTAGTTCAGCAGGATTTGGTTGTTCGATCTGTTTGGTGGTTGCTGTAACTGTAGTCATTTATTTTGAAAACGGCCCCAACATTTTCCTACAGTACCGGGCTGAAGTTTTCAGGGCAAACCTGATTTTGTTACCCCCTCACCACTCGCGCATGCCAAAATACTTGTGAACCCCTGGAACTCCCCAAATTTTTAAGAATGCAGCGTCCTTCTCCAACCCCAATCCCCAACCCCGAAGAAAAAAAACATATTTTACCACATTTTCCCCCCAGCGTCCAACCTTCAAGAAAATTGTATCGGCAATCCCCCCAATCCCCTGCGATCTATATTTATATTCTAGTTCCCTGTCTGCGCAACGCATGTTAGTTATAGTTTTTGTGCATACATGTATGATTTATATAAATAGTTCATTTCATCCACTGTGCCTCTCCGTGGCTCAAGACTCACTAGCAGACTGGCATAGCGGTATAGCCCTAGAGCAAAAAATTGAACCTTCCCCCCAATTTCGCATATGCTTGCAGTTTCCTAGCTTACATCCATGCCCCTCAATACGGGGAAAGCGGGTCCTCACCCACACCGCAAGCGGCTCCTCCCGCCACGGCACCCCCATGAGCCGCGGCTCTGAGGCGGCCTCGCGCCCTTCGCAGCGTGCCGAAGCCAACAGCTCTAAGCCCTCGAGCCGCAACTGGAAGAGTTCCTCAGATTCAAAAACGCTCCATTCATATCCATGCATACCATGTTTATATATATATATTATTTACAAAACATCCACATATATATATATATACCTGACTTCCATTGTGACCGCGCTCGACGGGCTTTTTCGGTTTCGAAAACCGCTCCGGGTTGAGCAATGCATTTGACGACCAAATCCCTCCATAACAAAACATTATCCAGGCAAGAGACGCCAAACAGCGCGGCGGGAAGTAAAAAGGTAATGTATATTAATGTATTGTTATGTTGATGATGATGATGATGATGATGATGATGATGATGATGTTAATATTGATGATGATGTTGATGGTGATGATGATGGCGGTGATGATGATGGTGGTGATGGCGATGATGATAATGGTGATGATGATGATGGTGATGATGATGATGATGGTGATGATGATGGTGATGATGATCATGATGATGATGATGGTGATGATGATGGTGATGATGATCATGATGATGATAATGGTGATGATGATGATGATGATGATGATGATGACGATGATTATGATGATGGTGATGATGATGTTAATATTGAAGATGATGATGATGATGATGGTGATGATGATGATGACGATGACGATGACGATGACGATGACGATGATGATCATGATCATGATCATGATCATGGTCATGATGATGATGACGATGATCATGATGACGATGATGATGGTGATGATGATCATGATGATGATGATGATGATGATGATGATGATGATGATGATGATGATGATGATGATGATGCGGCCAGTGTTTTGTGCGAGCCTGCGCGGTCGAAATGCACATGGACATGTCACAAGCGGCATTGTGTGCGGAAATTTACAGGGAAAATGCCAGACGATTCCGATAACCACCTCGATTGAACACCGGCCCTTAACTGTTACCGTAAGAACCCCTCAGTGTGGCCACGCTGTTTCGGGAATCATAGTCTCAGCACTTCCCCAGCTTGTCATGGCACGCTATGTCTCCGAGATTGCAACCAATTGCTCAACTAGTTCGCTAGAGCAAGTGGGCGCAATGTCCAGAGATAATTGTGGTGAACTAGTTCACTTTACCAAGTGGGGCGAACCACCAAGCAGGGGGGAAAATGGTGAGAAAATCCTGGGCATGTCCTAATTTTTGGACAAATTGGGGACGATTGGGAAAGTCTACAAATTTGTTTGATGGGAAAACGTAAGGAATATCATCTTTGCTTATATAGCTAGCGATTTCAATGTTGTCATGCGGGAAGATACGGTGAATTTCGCCAAAAATGTGGATTGGAGGAAATCCTCGAAGAATTGTGGAGCAGCAATTAGGACTGCTGCTGAGAGAAAGCATCCTTAACAAAAAAGTGGGAAAATACTGGTGCAAGTATATAGTCATATATAGTCGATGAATGATCCTTCACCCAAGTTGGTCAAGTCAGTGGCCTAGTTCACCCCACATTACCGAATTGGCACACCTTGGGCTTCATGGCACAATGGTGGTGCCATAACCATGGGGAAATTCATGGTGCGAGGCTCATCGCGTTGTCCCAAGGGGAAAGCGTCCAGTGCTCGCTGCATGGCCGTCACAAACTTTTCCAAGCTGTCAGTGGCACGAATACCTCACCATGACTAGATGGGCCCAAGGACCCTGGTGATCGACTGGGAGATCGTATGGTCAACTCATGGTCGACCCTGGTGATTTCAGTGATCCCGTGACATCCCGATGCCAAACTCTGGAACGAACATCACATCAGTAGTGTTGGTAAAAGACTGCCAGAAACCATCACCTAATTTCACCATAGATACTATTCCCAAAATGGGTGGTTTATGATTGTTTTACCCCCATTATACTATACTAATATGTGATGATGAATCATTCCAAAAGATAAATTCTGAACTCTAGCCATTTCCACCGCAGCATGGTGAGGTGCTCATGGATTTGTCGGTTAGGAGGTCCATGAGGGAAGCCACAATGATGGCGACCAGTTGGCTCAAAAGATTTTGGTAGTTCGACAGGCTCCTGTAGGTTGGTTGAGGAGCATGAGGATGAGCCTGGTAGTTTCTATACGTTATTAAAATAATATCATTATTGTTGTTGTTGATTGCTATGATTGTCATTATAATGATTAATTTATTCTTAGTATTGTTAGTTTAATAATTGGGATGTTGCTATTATGTAAAGAGAATTGCTCATTAATGATGAATCAGTTTTGCCATTTAGGACCTATGATTGTCATGATTGTCAGCATTGCTGTTAGCATTCTTGGTACTGCTACTATTGCTATCAATTGTTATGCAATGACGATGCCAAAGCGGTGGAAGGCCACTCTTCCGAGAGACCCTGTGCACCTGCAGTCTGAAGTCATGGGTCAATTGCCAATAATTCATCAATATGGCGATGGATGAAAACCCTGGCATGCTGGCAAACATCAAAATAGTTTGCAAATTGATGTTCATCCAAAAAAAAAATAGGTTTTGACATGTTTTGACCCATCACCATTTAATAATGAACAAATGACTGATTCATGAACTTTTTGTCATGACTAATTTGACTAATGACTACTTCCAAAATTTCATGGGCCAAAATGGAGTCCTGGCCTAGACATTGGGCGCTGTCCTTGTACCGATGCGCTTGTCACACTGGTGCAGCGAGTGCTCCGCGAAGAAGCAGGAGAACATGAGGCCGGCGTAGAAGAAGTTCGGCGAGGCAAAGTAGACGAAGAAGGAGAGGAATTCCTAGGGACTTGGTGGACTTGGTGAAAGTTAGGCCATGGGACCAGAAAATTTAGGGATCGAAATCGATCAAAATTCAGGACCCTGCAAAACTTGAGCATTTGAATCGTTGATGACATTCTGATCATTCTGGCTTGTGTTCCTCAGGAACAGGCCATTTCGCATCCCCTTTCCTGGATCAGAAATCAGAAACCATAGGCCATAGTTCCCTTTAATGTGCCTGCTCCCAAAAATGTCTATTCAACAGCCAGATTCCAAGCAGAAGTAGGCCAACAAAAAGAAGCCACACGCCAACTCGGCTCCTTAGCTCTAGTTACAACAGGCCAAATCGGTGGCTCGAAATATGTCGAAATGTTGCAGGCATCGGTCAAGGATGGCAATTTCGCAATCGCATCATCCGAGCCACCCACATCCATGGAGATATCGCAAGAGATGCCCATGGTCAGTTGCCCCAGCGTAGTTCCAAGGCCGACTCCGATGAAGCGATCCAAGTTCTTCTTCAACGCCGCAGCCTGCGCGTTGAGCCGTCAGGTCTTGGGTGGAACAATGCCACGTAGTGACCCATGTCAGCAGCCATCAACTTCAAATTGGGTAGTTGTGACCCATATTGACCCAAAATCATCCAAAACATCCCGAAACCATCTGAAATCCGCCCAGAAATCATCCAAAACGTCCAAAAAAATCATCCAGACATCCCACATCTATAGAGGCTTCCCCAGTCCTCATCGGTGCCTTATTTCCGCCCTGGAAGATGAGGTAGGCCACCGTCCCCGCCGGGGTGGCGTTCCAGTTGGGGATCAGCGGTTTGGCGTTGAGGCCACTCCCCAAACCGAGACGACCAAGGATGAAACAGACCAGGAAGGTGGCGAATAACTTGGCATTGCCTTGGAGCTTTTGGGGCGGCCTAAGCCCATGCTCAACCCCCCAACAATTTTTGATGCATATTTTCGGTGTTCACCAAAGATTTCTTGTTCCAAACTTTCATCCCGTGTCACTGGGCCAGGAGTAGCCTGACAGGTTCCAAGTCTGCAGAAAATTGGTTGGACATGTTGAGGAGAACTGACCTGAAAACCTGGAAGGTGCATGAAATTGGGAATGGGTCGGTAACACCCAAGATTGCTTGAAATCACCCAAAAATAATGGAATGTTCTTTTCAGGCAGTTTTCCCTACAAGTAAGCGCTTGTTAGTGGTTAAGCTATATACCAAACCTAAGTCTAGCACGGTAGTCCCAAACAAACCCCCAACATCCCCCTTAGCTCTGCTTTGGCCACAGGCCACCAATGATGCCAATGATACGACTTGGTAAATCCCTGCCTTCAAGCAACCACTGAAGGCGGCCGAGGGGCTGTAAGTCACGGCTTTCCATGATTGCAGCTTGAAGGGGTTGGCAGGGAACAAGTCAACAAACCTTAGAAGGTCTGGGGTCACTGGACCAATGATGTGATTAGAGCTGTGCTGGGTCTGCCTGGACTCATACTGCTGAGGATATCGGTGTATCATTGCAGGACTGCCAGGGACAAAATGTCAAACCTCTCAAAGCATACTTGCTTGCCACCAGAACCTTGATTCCGTGATATACTCCGGATATACGCTACTCGGAACCCTCACCAAAATGCAAAAATGATCAAAATTGCACATCTCAAACCCTATTCCAATCATGCACTAAACTGACAAGCAAGAGTTGTCTGCAAATCAAGCACGTTGCAAGGGCGGGATGGCCATCCAACGTTTCAGTACTTGGGCCTAATCTACGTCTAGCTTCAAGCATGGCACATGCCGGTCGATCAGGAGCATGGGTGAGAAATAGAGATGATTCTGGGCGCGGTTGGGGATGTTGTGGGGACGGGTCCCAGCAATCGGTGGCTTCCAGTGGCTTCCAGTGGCTTAGGGGGAATGACCTCACCCATACCCAACTGGACATAACTGGACTGGTATCCCATCACCTCAGCTGTCAAGAAACCCCTTCCAGAAGCCACAGCAGGGACCGACCCGGCGCACGCCCACTGAGCCCTGAAAGGACGCAAGGTGATTGGATACCTTCTGACCTGGGGCCGTTGACGCGTGGCTGGGGCTGGCCCACCACCTGCTGGGGCCCCTGAAGGTTGCACACTTTTGTCGGTCCCTTCCAGCGTGATTTTCCTACTTGGCGACTAGCGAGCTGTGAAGTTGAACACCATTGAACACCCCTGTTCAGTCAGTTAGAAAGTGACCGGACTTCCCAACTATGTTCGCTTCCCCAAGTCCACTCACCTTCTTTCGAAACCATCCCAAAAAACTAAGTCATTGTCAATAATAATCCCATCTATAATCTATCTATACTGTACAGTGTAAAGCTATATTCTATATATATATATAACTGTATGTGGATATACGTGTATATGTATATGAACGACCCTGGAGCCGTGTGTATATATATATATGTGTGTGTGTACATACATACATACATAATGATAGACCACCAGCCAGTTGTTTATTGGCTCTATGTATCCCAGGTTGGCCTGTTCTCTGCCCATTTCCGATTTTGAATCCACGCTAGGACGCTGTAGCCGCTGATGCTGGAGGCCAGTGCCAGTTGCGGCAATTCGGTTTTAGAGAAGCCCTGGACGACCCCCGCAACGTGAGATCTGTGGAGATCACCCAGGTTGTGGGTTGACCATGGAAACATTGGTTTGGCAGACCTCTACATTTGATGAATTGATGGTAAAAACACCAGGGTTTCCAACAAACATGTTCCCTCACCCCATTTCTTGTTGCATTGGTTTATTCCATTCTTCAAAGCAAGTAGACCTGTCTGTGTAGGTTAAAGACCTTGTTTAGCTGCAGTTTTTCCCTGACATCAACAGAGTGATCAAGTCCTTCCATCATGAACCCCCGCTTGGATACCCTAATCTCCCCCCAAAAAAATGAATATATAATATACTGTAATATACTGCTCTTTCTACTCAGATATCATGTCCCATATTTTGTGGTTCAAAATAATCACCTCACCCTTCACCAGCCCATCTCCCCAGCTATCTCCAGCTCTGGCCTCCATGGGGGACTTCTCCACTTCCCGCAGGCCCCGTTCGGCAAAGGTCTGCGTCAAGCTCCGCTCAGCTTCCTGCCAGCAGAACCGCACTTCAACGGGGGATCCAAGGAATCCGAGGCACAACTCAGTCAACTCCTTTGAAGTCCCTCAACCCCACCTTCGGGAAAAGAAAAAAGAAACCACGGGTTTTGATGTGCTTCGCCAGCTGGCTGCCTTCACCAATATTCCCCCCATCCCATCCTGCAGGTCCAACAGGGAGCCCTGCAAGCTCTTCCAACAGCCATCCTGGCTGGCGCCCCTCACGGCCAGGGCGGCGCAGTGGTACAGCGCCACATCGGCCGCCAGCGTCAAGTCGGAGAGGCCCTCCTTGATGTGATGAAAGGTGCGGCCACAGCCTCTTGTTCAAAAGGTGGCAAGCAGGAAAACATCAGAATTCTGGTAACACACGCTTGACAAAAAGCAACCAGGGTGCGGGGTTTGACCAAGAAAACTCGAATGGGGACAACGGAAATCTCAACAAATAGTTAAGTGCAAATAGATCTAAAACAGCAAGTTTGGAGCATTTTCATGGGTCACCCCACCTGGCGGGCACTTCTGCTGCACTGCCATCACCATGGCCTCCCAGCATCCGACAGTATATGCACGTTAAGAACTCGCCCACATGAAAATGAGTAGGCACAAAAGAAGAAGAGGATCATCATCATCATCATCGTCGTCGTCGTCCTCGTCCTCGTCCTCGTCCTCGTCCTCGTCCTCGTCCTCCTCATCATCATCATCATCATCATCATCATCATAGTCCCATAAATCCATATAAATCCCGATTAAAAGAGGAAAAAAAAAAACAATTTCTGTTGGCTTATTTAGGTCCAACGTCCCATTATCAGACCATGCCTTCACCTTACCCGCACCTCCAACCAGTCATTCAGCACCTCCAAGCAGTCACAGAGGTGACTCATCAGTTGCCGCGAGCGTCCCGCGCAGCCAAGGTCGAAGCATTCCCACCTCCAGCTGCCCAGTAGAGGATGACTTCATCTGACCATGTGTCTCGCCCCTTATATTTAAAAAAACAAATCATGAATCCAAAGAAATCATAAGAAATCCGCTCCCCGTGGACCTCTGGTCTAAAGTGAATCCTCCACCACTGTTACTCCAAGGCACCAGCTGCTGTTCAACAAGTTCTTGATCTCCCCCAGCTGTTCGTGCAAGCCCCTGACCTCCTCAGCAAAGACCACCGCTGTGTGCTCCTGGGAAGCTGGTTTGCCCCTCTGGGAGGGATCCACCAAGATTTTTTTCGGCAATTTCACTCCTCGAAAGTGACGTCAAACATCGTTTTGTGGGCCATGACCACTAGTCATCACCATTTCACATGATGCTCAGCTCCTCTAGAGAGTGGGAAGACCCAGCACTGAGGAAAATACTTAGACGCAACATGCCGATTGTGGCTTTACTTCTTCAACATGGAAATTATCAACTGTATTTCCCACATTCCCAAGTTTTTCTCCAAAAAGTGCGATAAAATCCCCGTTTTTTTTTCTGGCTCTGGGGGACCTCTGGGAACGTCTCCTGCATGTGCGTGCCCCCGTGGTTCAGCAACTGCTCCAGCAAGCGGCCATGGCACCAAACCACCTCCAGGATCCTGGGGCCAGGGATTCCGGAGAAAGGGGTAAATTACAGCCATGTCATTGGGATGCTTACCCGGCTTACCCATACATGTATAGATACTTATATAAGATACGTGTATAATGTCTATATCTATCTACGTCTATATATATATATATCTATCTATCTATCCATCCATCCATCTATCCATCCATCCATCCATCTATCCATCTGGGTGTGTATGTGTGTGTGTTTATGTATCTATTGATTTTCTATTCATGTGTTCTATATAATGTAATTATATGATATGTGCATGTGTGTGCGTTTGACAGAGATGCACGTATAGCATGCACATATGTACATATATATATATGTGTGTGTGTGTAATAAACATATATATATATATATATACTTATATATATATATATATATATATAATCATCACACTAAAACATGATGCATCCTCACCGCCACCCTTCACCCGTCCAAAAACAACGCCAGGGCGCATCTTCTGTGCACGACTCAGGGCGCTGATGCAGCTGGGGAGCAGCGCCGCCAGCACCGCCAGCAGACAGCCCACCACGGTCCCCATCAGCGCGCCCGTCTCAGCGCTATGAAGCTGCACATCGCGCACGCCGCAGCTGAAGGTCGTGTCCTAAGCCGAGAGGTGACTCGGGCTAGTCAAAAAGCCGGATACAAGATATGGGTGTGTGCACATGGCGCGCATATATATATATATTGTATATACACATAGAGTACATATTATTACAAAAAGGTATCATTATTGCTATTATCATTATTATCAATAGCATTGGCATGAGTATTGGCCTTAGTGCTGTTGTTGTTGTTGTTGTTGTTGTTCTGCTGCTGCCGCTGCTGCCGCTGCTGTTGTTTGTGGTGATGATGATGATGATGATGATGATGGCAAATAAAAATGGATAAAAATGGCCGTAACAATTGTGATATATGACTCATATGACAATGATGAAAATAGTAATAGTATACAGTGTGTGTGTGTGTATCTGACCGTAGCTTCAGGCTTCACTCGAACAACCATGTGTGTTTTCTTTTGGACTATCCAAAATGTCTGCGCATCAGCTGGAGCCATTTTTCCGCCCAAGGACAACAGCCAGCTGTTCCCATCGCATCAAGACACATCGAAGGGGTTCAGGAAGCACATTGTGAAGTAGGCTTGCCAACTCAAGGTATACATCCTGACCCCGGGTGTCCAGCTGGTATCCCCCAATGGCATCCACTGGCCACACACCCCTCATGTTATGATGTTATATGATGTTTTCTCCAAGCGGTAACTCCCAAGTAAGCAAATCAGGGGGTCATAAAGTTAATTACAAATGGGAATAATCAAGCCTGCCATATCCAGCCAGCGTTAACATTAGTCAACAGAACAAGGGGAGGAGTACTGAGCGGAAAATCAAAGCACATTCATTGTAGGAAAGCTTCGGAACTTTGGGGCCGCCATCACCGGGGAAGAAATGATGTCGTCTGGCCCCAAAGAAAGAGGGGCTGGTTTGAACGGTTCGGATGCCATTTGTCATGATTTACCTGTTGCTTGTTCAACCGGCGTCACTCCTCTATCAATGCTATTAATCAATCAGTGGGAAAAGGACTCGCGTGCTTCCTAAAGCAGATCCCAAGCAGCTTGGCATTCGTTGCGAAGTTCAAGACGAAGGTAAGCCTCACTTGAAAGACGCATGAGCTGTGAGGATGGATTTTGGATAGAAGAAAGTAGCCAAAAATTCTCTTATCATTTCATGACTCGGTTAGACGTTATCACTATGTTACGTACTTTACCATGCTGAAATCATGATAATTACTATGCTATATACTATACAGTGGCAGACCCTTACTCAGCCTTACTCCCACTACTATTGTCAGTGTCACCACGTCTCTAAAGTTTAACCAGGTATAACCAGGTCGAAGTTAGATAGTTAGATAATGTTAGAGAATAAGTCGCCCAAGAATCCACGGAACCTTTTTCATGGCAAGGTGCAAGACGACGATTAGAAAGTTGGCATACCCAAAGACTTTTGCCGTCCAATCGCCCGCCGCCGTGCCGTAAGGGAAGATGCTAAACCTCGATGGCAGGGGAACAAGACCTGCTTCTTTTTGTTTCCATCGCAGCCAAAGAGCATGAGCCAACAGTTGGCCACTGGAAGCAGAGTTCCATAGAAGCCCGTCCAAGCCAGAAAATTGGAGGTACCCAGATCAGTGTAGAAACTGAAGGCGACAATCACCACAACATAGCCTGGGAGCAGTCCAAGTATGTCCAAGTAGAGCACCGGATCAGGATTTGAGGCTCAGCAAGCCATGGAGCTATCCCAACTCCAACGAAAAAAAAACGAGCCACTGGGATGGTTCAGCTGACGCCAGTGCTTCGTAAATGGTGTGGCCTTTTCAACAAAAACACTCTACGTACGCAGATTTGTCAAACATTCACAAAGCAGTTACTGCGGCAATCACATCAAACACTAATTATTTAAAGCTCCATAATCCCAAATGCTCAAGTCAGTCATGGATCATTCCCACTTCATCCCACTTCATCCCACCCCACCCATCCCACCGATAGTTTAAAAAAAAACAGAATAATAAACCCTGACCCTGACTATTATCAATTGGGCCAGTTACCCTCCCCTTCGCGCACGTGGACGTGGAGGCCAAAAAACGTACCACTAACATGGACGTGCATCTGGTCAAAACCAGTAAATTCTCACTAACAAGGACGTGGCCCGCCCAAAATGTCGCTAACAAGGACGTGGTGCATTTTGTAAAAACCATCAAAATTTAGCTAACAAGGACGTGGTCCTCCCAACATTTAGCTAAAAAGTGCACACTAACATGGACGCTGCAAAGTTTCATATTTTGGTAGGTTCCCTGGGAATGACGCCATGGCTGTACACCCAAACCTAAAAACGTCTAGAGTCTATGTTAACAAAACATTGAGAAGTGAACCCTGGATCCCCTCGGCCCACAGCTGCTTTTTTTTGTCGCAGCCACTTCCCCAGTGGCGGGTCTTTGAAGCTGATTTAACCATTTCTATAAAGGGAAATTAGGCAAAACTGGCCGCCTCTTGCTTTGGAAATGTGCATGGGGAAGTTGCATGACTGACCCATGGACAAGTCTACTATCATGGACGTCCCTGACAAGCACAACGGGCAACAGCAGGGAGACGGTTTGACATGGAGATGCACCAGAAGGAGATTCTTTTGCACGTCCCAGCGCCCATGGGGGGACCACAGGGAAGGGGACAAATAAGGACAAACCAAAAGGAGAGCCGTTAACAGGAGATTCCTTAAATGCAAGCAAGACTATTCTCACAAATCGGGGCTCCTCAATGTCCATGTTTGGAGGGCTGCCCAGGGATCATAGTTGTTGACACCGTCACAGCTCACCAAAATGATAGCTTTGGAGGTCTGAGATTGGGGCTGGGTCGAAGTTGTGACCTTTTAAGCTGTTTTAACCATTTCTATAAAGGGAAATTAGGCAAAACTGGCCGCCTCTTGCTTTGGAAATGTGAATGGGGAAGTCGCATGACTGACCCATGGACAAGTCTACTATCATGGACGTCTCTGACACGCACAACGGGCGACAGCAGGGAGACGGTTTGACATGGAGATGCACCAGAAGGAGATTCTTTTGCACGTCCCAGCGCCCAGGGAGGGACCACAAGGAAGGGGACAAATAAGGACAAACCAAAAGGAGAGCCGTTAACAGGAGATTCCTTAAATGCAAGCAAGACTATCTCACAAATTGGGCCTCCTCAATGTCCATGTTAGTCGGCCCACTGCAGTTTGGAGGGCTGCCCAAGGATCATAGTTGTTGACACCGTCACAGCTCACCAAAATGAAAGCATTGGAGGTCTGAGATTGGGGCCGGGTCGAAGTTGTGATTTTTGAAGCTGTTTTAACCATTTCTATAAAGGGTCATTAGGCAAAACTGGCCGCCTCTTGCTTTTGTAAATGTGCATGGGGAAGTTGCATGAACAAACCCATGGATAAGTCTACTATCATGGACGTCCCTGACAAGCACAACGGGCAACAGCAGGGAGACGGTTTGACATGGAGATGCACCAGAAGGAGATTCTTTTGCACGTCCCAGCGCCCACAGGGGACCACAAGGAAGGGGACAAATAAGGACAAACCAAAAGGAGAGCCTTTAACAGGAAATTCCTTAAATGCAAGCAAGACTATTCTCACAAATTGGGCTCCTCAATGTCCATGTTAGTCGGCCAACCAGTTAGGAGGGCTGCCCATGGAGGTCTTGGATTGGGCCCGGGTTGAAGTTGGGACTTTTTGCTGTTTGAATAGAGAAATTGCACCAACTGGCAGCCTCTTGCTTGGGGAATTTGCAGCAATCACGGCCGACAGACTGATGCAAAGGCCACTAACATGGACGTCCCTGGCAAGCACAGCAGCAACATCAGGGAGACTGTTTGACAGGTTGGACAGAGCCCTCACAGGATTTTCCTGAATGTGACCCAGGCTATTCTCACAAATTGGGGCTCCTCAATGTCCATGTTAGTCGGCCCACTGCAGTTTGGAGGGCTGCCCAGGGATCATAGTTGTTGACACCGTCACAGCTCGCCAAAATGAAAGCTTTGGAGGTCTGAGATTGGGGCCGGGTCGAAGTTGTGATTTTTGAAGCTGTTTTAACCATTTCTATAAAGGGAAATTAGGCAAAACTGACCGCCTCTTGTTTTGGAAATGTGCATGGGGAAGTTGCATGACTGACCCATGGACAAGTCTACTATCATGGACGTCCCTGACACGCACAACGGGCGACAGCAGGGAGACGGTTTGACATGGAGATGCACCAGAAGGAGATTCTTTTGCACGTCCCAGCGCCCATGGGGGGACCACAGGGAAGGGGACAAATAAGGACAAACCAAAAGGAGAGCCGTTAACAGGAGATTCCTTAAATGCAAGCAAGACTATTCTCACAAATCGGGGCTCCTCAATGTCCATGTTTGGAGGGCTGCCCAGGGATCATAGTTGTTGACACCGTCACAGCTCACCAAAATGAAAGCTTTGGAGGTCTGAGATTGGGGCCGGGTCGAAGTTGTAATTTTTGAAGCTGTTTTAACCATTTCTATAAAGGGAAATTAGGCAAAACTGGCCGCCTCTTGCTTTGGAAATGTGCATGGGGAAGTTGCATGAACAAACCCATGGACAAGTCTGCTATCATGGACGTCCCTGACAAGCACAACGGGCAACAGCAGGGAGACGGTTTGACATGGAGATGCACCAGAAGGAGATTCTTTTGCACGTCCCAGCGCCCAGGGGGGGACCACAAGGAAGGGGACAAATAAGGACAAACCAAAAGGAGAGCCGTTAACAGGAGATTCCTTAAATGCAAGCAAGACTATTCTCACAAATTGGGGCTCGCCAATGTCCATGTTAGTCGGCCCACTGCAGTTTGGAGGGCTGCCCAGGGATCATACGACGTAGTTGTTGACACCGTCACAGCTCACCAAAATGAAAGCTTTGGAGGTCTGAGATTGGGGCCGGGTCGAAGTTGTAATTTTTGAAGCTGTTTTAACCATTTCTATAAAGGGAAATTAGGCAAAACTGGCCGCCTCTTGCTTTGGAAATGTGCATGGGGAAGTTGCATGAACAAACCCATGGACAAGTCTGCTATCATGGACGTCCCTGACAAGCACAACGGGCAACAGCAGGGAGACGGTTTGACATGGAGATGCACCAGAAGGAGATTCTTTTGCACGTCCCAGCGCCCAGGGGGGACCACAAGGAAGGGGACAAATAAGGACAAACCAAAAGGAGAGCCGTTAACAGGAGATTCCTTAAATGCAAGCGAGACTATTCTCACAAATTGGGGCTCCTCAATGTCCATGTTAGTCGGCCCACTGCAGTCTGGAGGGCTGCCCAGGGATCATAGTTGTTGACACCGTCACAGCTCACCAAAATGAAAGCGTTGGAGGTCTGAGATTGGGGCCGGGTCGAAGTTGTAATTTTTGAAGCTGTTTTAACCATTTCTATAAAGGGAAATTAGGCAAAACTGGCCGCCTCTTGTTTTGGAAATGTGCGTGGGGAAGTTGCATGACTGACCCATGGACAAGTCTACTATCATGGACGTCCCTGACAAGCACAACGGGCAACAGCAGGGAGACGGTTTGACATGGAGATGCACCAGAAGGAGATTCTTTTGCACGTCCCAGCGCCCAGGGGGGGACCACAAGGAAGGGGACAAATAAGGACAAACCAAAAGGAGAGCCGTTAACAGGAGATTCCTTAAATGCAAGCAAGACTATTCTCACAAATTGGGGCTCCTCAATGTCCATGTTAGTCGGCCCACTGCAGTTTGGAGGGCTGCCCATGGAGGTCTTGGATTGGGCCCGGGTTTAAGTAGGAATCCGATACTCGATGTTCTCAAAACTCAGAGGGATTCGATCAACCAGAAAGAGAATTGAATGTGATCAGAAGATACCCTCTGGGAAACTAACAGTTTGGCATCCAAAATTCGTTTAATTATTTCTGATGTACCTAGGACAAATCACCCTCTTGGGGACCATCCGACAAATCAAGTTGGAAGACCCAGGGCTGCTGTTGACCATCAGCTGATGAAGCAGGGGGTATTTAATTATTCTCCAGATCCCTGAGATGGACGCTGAAAATTGAGAAAATGTACGCACGTACTATGTTAGTTGTTTTTCTTACTTTTGCCAGTTTTGCAAGCGTCCATGTTAGTTTGACACATGTCACAGGTCCACTAACATGGACACTCAAACAGGTTTTTTTGAACAGTATTCAGCTAACATGGACATTCATAGCAAGATTTCTGGCTTCTTACAGCGTCCATGTTAGCTGAATACTGTTCAAAAAAGCCTGTTTGAGTGTCCATGTTAGTGGGCTTGTGACATGTGTCACACTAACATGGACGCTTCCAAAACTGGAAAAAGTAAGAAAAACCACTAACATAGTACGTGCGTACATTTTCTCAATTTTCAGCGTCCTCGTCTGCATACCGGAGGGTACCCATCAAAATAGAATAGTGAAAAAATATCACAAAATCCTATTTGAAGAATGGAACCCCCCTATCAGCATTCTTAGTGAAACTGGGGCTTTATTAATCCTAGGTCAACACAAAAGACAATTGTTGGTTGTATATGCCATGAAATATCCCAATCAAAGATATCTCCACACCAGAGGGTATAGTATACGGTATACCGGTATACCATATAGAAGTCATATAGATGGATTATAGACCATGTTCGCTACATCCATATTATACCATATGATATTCTCCCAATATATGGCCCATATATATATTGGTTCATATTGGTTCAATCAGCTAAATCCCGTGAAATGACCATGTCGAAGGCATCCAAGGCGCTCATCTCCCATCCCTGCTGTTGCCACCAGCTGAGCGCTGGCACCCGATAGCTGGCCGCGCAGAAGGACGCCACCAGCGCCCCACGCAACGCCAGATCCGAGAAGAAGGCGAAGCTTTCCCCAAAGCGTTGGGCCTCGATGGGAGGACGGGTTGGCGGGGTTGGGGATGGTTGGGGGTTGGGTGGGAAAAGTTGAAACTTCCAAAAAAATGTGGATGTTAAGACGATTGTTTAGTAAGTTGGTTCTCGATCTCTCCAATGAAGCTGATTATGCGCATGCGTTTGAAGGAAAAAAGTAAGTGCTTCGGAATAAATTGAAATTGAAAGCTTCTCATCCATCCCAGATCATGTTGAAGGAACATCAATCGGTTGGATGGTTCTAGATTCTAGATGAGTAGATGGATATGGGCTGGGTCAAAATGGGCTATGGATGGCTGCCCCAAAAAAGGGTCTACCAAGTCTACGATTTAAATGACATGACCAGCATTGACCCGCCCATCTGAGGTTTCCCTCTAAAACTTGACCCCTACCACGTCTCTAGGCCTTGAAAATCACCCGATGAAGAAAGCCCAGGTGTTGCGGTGGCCGCCGCAGCAGGGGTTCGGTGAGCAAGGTGCCCACGGTATTCCGCCGCCGCACCTTGGAGGGCAGAGTAAGCTAAACGACCAAAAAATGTGTCAAACATGCTAAACGACCCAATCTCACAAAAGATTCAAGCGCCAAAACGACTTTCCGAAGTCCTGCAAGTGACACATCTGCAAAATGACCCTAAGATCCCTAAGAATCCTTTAAAATTTAAAAAAACAATGGTGAAACATGGTGAAACATCTCCAGGCGCCTCCTTCCCCCATCTCCAGCGCCAGGTTTGAAGCTCCACGGCCGCCACGGAGCACAGGAAGCAGAGCAGCAGACCGGCCACGCAGGTGGCCGCCACCAGCCAGAAATCCAACCTGCGCCAAAATCGAAGGATTCACTAAGGACTCGAACTTCAAGGATCGAAGGGTTCGAACTTCTCAGGATTCTAAATCTTCCATAAATTCAGAGAAATGATGAGAGATGATAAGAATTTTGGATTGAGCGACCCGAAACAAATGGGGAGCTGCACTGTGGTTAAGCGTGATTGAACAGTCTTGAGTGGTAACCATCTTAAACTGAGTATATAGCTTGGCTCGTTTCATTCAGCTGAACATTGCAGTGACGCCCCCTTCATGATCCAGGTTACCTTTCAAACAAATGAATGTGGAAGTAAAATAACAACAATATACATCAATATACAACAAGTAAACATAAGAAAACGTTGAAAATGAAACAGCCATTTGCAAAAAGATGCAAATAGATGCAAATAGTAAAACTGCATCTACATCAATTGGGCGGATTTTTGGGAAAAAAAAATCCACCGGTGATGTCCACCAGGCTGCGAAGCCCCCAGGAAGAAGCCATTTCTGGCCACCACAGCATTCGCTTGACGCCGACTAATGCGCCCTAAGTTCCTGAGATCGGGATAGGATGATCCTTGGGGATTTCAAAAAAATCTACGGCAAACCGTGGCTTTTCCTATGAAATGTGGGGTTTCTGCTCAAAAGAACTCCCTGCCACTGGGTATCTTGCGAAATCTTCAGGGGTTCTTGTAGGCTTTCCCACATCAATCAAGAGAAAAGAAGCCTACAGAAGATCCTACTACTCTCATCCAACCCGGAACCCACAAAAAGAATTTCCGTTGGACTCGGACTATCATTTCTCCCAGAATTGGTGCGAGCGAACATTTGCGGAAACCCCATATATTGATGGGAAAAACATGGAAAAACCATGGTTTTGTGCAGATTCTCACACCAACCCCAGTGAAATGTCCTTCTTCTTCCAAGAGTCGGATGGAGTGAGCGCGTCTGATTAGACTCATGGCAATGGTGCATGACTGGCTGGTGTCCATGGTGAGGACTTCCGGCACATTACGGCACCAGATGACTTCTTGACTTTATGCCACTTTTTTGTCTGCAACTTTTATACTCACATGTACCGACATATACAATTATCATAGAATAGTTGGGAACAAGCCGATTCTCAACTGCAAGTTCCTCTACACAACTCTGGAGAGGTTGACATAGATATGCGTGAGCACTCCCTGGAACAGTCAGATTGTTTTTGATAGAGAGGCTTATAATGGCTTATATAGTTGGGGTAATCCACCAGTTGGTCCCATGATTTCTCAATGGACGAGTTGGACGGTCCACTCTGTCGGATAGTGTGGGGGGACAAGTCATCGATCTATTGCTCCAGTCTTACCTTCGAGAGTTCCTGGCTTCCAATGGTGATCCGGTGATCCTGTTAAACGTTTGGTTCCAGGCATCCAATGTTCCGTCGTTCCATTGAAGAAACTTGTTTCCCCCACCAAGCCATACCTTGGCTCAAGCAATTGGGTCCACAACTGGGACAAGCTTGAGCCGAGATAGGCAGATCTGTGGGCTCCAAGATATCACCAATATATCACCTGGGCGCAGGTTATCATATTGCTCCTCTCTCGAAAAAATGAAGAACCATCTTGGCAATATGCAGTACGCGAAGTTGCTGATGGGCTCCGACAAAAAATAGGTCAACGAAATCTGGGGTTACCAGAATGGAGACCTCGATGGTGACCAGCGACGTGAACATGCATGAATTCAAAGGGGGCCTCCCATTGAATGCATCCTCACATTTTACCGCACCCTGAAGCCTTGAATCCTCATTCGAAAAAAAGTGGAGTTGGCAAAATGTCGCAAAATTCAGTGGGGGATGCCGTTTTTCTCCCTCAGCTCCCAGACTTTCACCGCAGCCTACCCATGCCTACCCCGGTCCTCGATGAAGCAACTGGTGGCTTCCAACTCCAGGCCAGGCGCTGTCCTCTTAGCCTGGATTGGTGAAGGGCTGAGAAGGGGGGAGAAATGCTGTCAGTCATTTTTCTCAGTAAACTTGGGATCAGGACATGGACGACCTGGGGATCACTTTGGACATGGACCTGGACCTGGACCTGGACCATTGCAGCTAAAAATGGTTGATCTACCTAGCTTTCCTTCCCGTTTGCACCGCATGTGCCGATTTTGCAGATAAATATCGGAGCGCACGAGTGCGGCTGAAAATATATATCTTCAGATTATGTCTGTTTGTGGGTGCGCATCGTATCAGATCAGATGAGTGGGCCATGGTTGGTGCCACAGCTCGTCTCATGGGCTTCGAGGTGAACCACCCCGCCTCTTCCATGTTTCGTTGCAGCGTCGGCTGCATCTTTGTGTTGGGTTCCTGTGGCGCTACACCAGCACCTGGAGGACCTGGGGGTTGGGGAGCCCAGGACAGTCCAGAAACCTGCAAGGCAGGTTTCGAAGGCCCAGCAAACACAAAAAAACGTGTAGGTGTACAATGGATATCAATGGATATCAATGGATATCAATGGATACACGTACGAACACGCCCCATAAAACGACAACCTAGTGGAACCCGAACAAAAACGACTCGGAATGAATGTTCGAATGTTCTGATGTTCCTCTGTGTTAACGTGGTACGCGCTGTCCAGTAATGTTTTTTAGGAATTGGAGGGTGAAAAAAAAACCTTGGCTGGTTCATGGATGAACTAAGCCACTTGCAAAGCATGGATCTTTGTTGTAGGAGGTGTAAAACGTCGGGATGTGTCATGCCACCTATCACATTCCCATGCGAATGGCTATGGAAATCACCTGCCTGTCATCTAATTCTATCATATTCTATCTACCTACCGACCGCCGACCTATCACTTCTTATTTATTGCCTTATTGCCATTGCTATTTTTTGTGTGTCTAACTTGCAAACGATTTTAGAGTCATGTCCAGCAGCCCGCCATTGCTTTCTCCAAGGTGCCAACATCACCACCTTAGACACGCCAGCACCGCGCGCATGAGAATCCAGGTAGTAGCGGAGGTAGGGGCCACTGCCGCAGCCCAAGTCCAGCACCTTAGTTTACTCTCTCTTCTGCCATTTAATCCATTTTATAAAGGGCAATCTGAGCAATCTCCCCATTTTTTGGGAAACCTCCATAAAGTGAGTGTCATTCATCCGGAGTTGAGACCCGGCACCTGGCCCTTGATGCCCTTCAGGAGCTCCCAGCGGGCGGGCTGAAAATAGTGATCCACCTGCAGTCGCCCAGAAATATGGTTCTCATCAGTCAAAAAATTGTGATTTTGTAGCAAAATCTGGAGAAAAAAAGATGATGGCTATGAAAGTACCCAGTGGATTAATCTTTACTGGATTCAAACCCAGCAAACATGGAGACTAGTGGGTAAAGATTGTTTTTCTCTCCCACTCAACTCGGAGGGACTTACTTTGAGCATTCAGGACTGGACCCAAGATGTGACGATGCATGAGAATCCAGATTGGGATCTTCCATGGATTCCTCCAAATTTTCCCTGGGAGATGCAAAAAGAATTTCAGTAAATCATATTAATCCGTTCCACCATATTTGATGTTAATACCCCCAAAGTGTTTTCGTATTGGATCTGTCCATTTTGGGTCCCTTTTTGGCGGTACTCAATATAGTAGATCTATAATCTATATATTATATATATAGAGATACGTGTATGTATGTATATATATATGTGTCCATATATATATATATATAAAGAAAGAAAGAAAGAAAGAAAGAAAGAAAGAAAAAAAGGAGGAAAGGAAGAAAGGAAGGAATTATATATATTTTTTCCTCTGGCCTCTGAGATGATCTCGTGCCTACATGCATCACCAGCTTAACGCGGCTGGTAGTCAGGCTTGATGGAACCGTGCTCAGCACAGGCACACATCAATGCCAATTCTAGCCCAAAAGGCTCATCGCCAGCATCGCCACAGTTGGCAGGAATTCTGGTCGAGAGCACTCTACGCATCGCTCTGGCAAATCCAAGATTTAAAGCAGCAGGATATTCCTTTGCTGCGGCCGTTTTGTAACGGCCAAATTGGTCTTTGCCAATCAATTGCGTCTCAGGGCAAGTCAGGCCAGGTACCACGCAAGACTCCAAAGCTGCCGGGAGGTCCGTGTTGGAGTAGAGGAGCGTTGTGGGTTTGGTGCCAGGGGCACCGAAACGCCATTGTGCTATTGTGGTTTGGCGAAAAATGGCGCCAGGGCGTCGTAGGAAGAGCTTCATAATACCCAACCTCCAAACGCTGGCATAGTCCTCGTTGTAGGGAGCCGCAGGGTGCTCCAGCACTGTCACTCCACCATGAAGGTTGACAACGCAGGCCAATAAGAGGCCTTTGAGAAGCAGGCTGCTTCCCACAAATATCTGGGCTAGCTCAGGGAAGGTGAGATGGTCAAGTCCCCACAAGGAGAAAGCACTCCTCAAAGGTCGCGGACCTCGTACCGGCACTCCATCTTCATCAAATTGTTGATGATGACGTGCAGAAGTCCACGTCTCGCACGGAGGACCTTGGATCAGACCAAGGACTCGTCCTTCCCGGGCAATTTGCATCAGGAACGCCCAAAGCTTCTGGTTGTGGACATCAAGTCGCTCATCCACTGCCGTGTCAACAGACAACACCCTGATGTGGAGGTCCTTGAACTCGGCAATCACCTTCTCGATCTGTTCGTGGAAGTCCTTGTCTCTGCGGCGTCCAGAATATAAGTGGATGATGTAGAAGGGGCCCTTCTCTGCCACTTGACCAACCATTGGTGCATTGAGAACTCGCCATCCAGCGCGCAAATGTTCTTCCTCAGCCATATGCATGTAGTGAGAGATGATGGCATGCTCTCGGGAATATGGGCGTGTCGAGGTCGGCAAAGCGCGCTTTGGTATGTCGGGTTCATCATGTGGCAGGTTCATTCGAAGCTGCACCAGTCGCTTCATTCGAAGCCGCAGATTCCACGAAGGTATGTCCTCAAGGAAGGTCATGTGCACCTCTTCCAAGGTGCATGCCACATCAGGGTCCAAATCTTCCGGCCAGGCATCATAAAAACTTGTCTCTACCCAGTGAACAAACAAACGGCCACCAAGAAGTTCAGGAGCAGGGAGAGCAAAGATCGTGGCAAAGAACATGTTGTGGAATGAAACCTCATCAGGAGCATCCTGGGCACACCACCGTCGCAAGCAATCATTGAATGCCTTGACTGCTGCATGCACCAAATCAGGATCGCTCTCTGGATGCCACCACGCAAATTCATGGGCTCCTTCAAGGCGTAGTGCACTGATACGCTGGTTCAGGGAGATCCGCTGGCGCTGTGTGCTTGTCGGTCGTAGGGGCCCATGTAGCCTTCTAATAGCCGGAAGGCGCTTGACATGTTTGAGGTGCTCCGGGAGCAAGATCGTGACTGGGGTATCAGGCATGCGGGCACCATGTACACGATCCCAGCATCCATTCGGATGATACTTCAGGTGTTGCTGCAAGCGCCAAGTTGTATGAAAGTCCCTCAAACATCCAGGGCAATTGGTCGACTGGATGTACGGTCTCTCATCGGACATGATGTTGTGCTTTTGATAGGCATGGGTTGCACAAGCCTGCTTGGTGTGAAAGGAGCGGTCACATTGAGCACAAACAAATTTGGGGGCCTCTGGATCAGCTAAATCATCGCCTTTCCAAACATCCAAACCAAAATCGACAAGTTCTTGCACAATCAAGCCATGATAGTGCTGGACGTCGCGCGCAATTCGTTCCTGAAGCACATGCTTCCTCTCTGCTCTGCGAACGCTGGCTTTCCATCTTGTGCAAGTTGAGAGGACATCCCAAATAGCTTGCCATTGTATGTTGGGCAATTCAAACTCGAAGGGTAGCTCCACCAAATTGCTCATCCAGGCAATGTCCGCAGCAACTTCCCAAAGCCATCCCTTACTGGTGGCAAATTCCAGCAGCAGGCCTGCCTTGTGAAAGGGGGCAGCATGTCGGGCAACATGTTGGAGGTAAATGAGCCGGTTGCAGGCCCAAGTCACTCTGAAAGGTGACACCTCCAGATGATGTCGAACTTCAACGTCCGTCATCTCGGCTCCATTCCAAAATCCAATGCCGGCCATACGTCGTTGATGGTCGATGACGACGCTGTCAAGCTGGAGCTTCGATGTTTTGGGAACGTCAGCCCAGATTGCACTCCCGTACATAAGCCGCGTCACCACAAGGCTGTTGTACAATTGGAGACGCCCTTTCAGGGGGATGTTTTGGTTCAAGAACAGAGGGCGCTTAAGTTCCTCAAAGGCCTGGCGAGCCATGGACATACGCAGCTTGATTTCATAGTCAATGTCCGCATCCATCATGAAGCGGGCGCCCAGGTGACGGTAAGTCGCCACAATCCTCATCGACAAGATGTGCGACGGGGTGCTGACTATGATCTTCGGCTGCCTTTCAGTGTCAAATAGGGCAGTGCGGAGCTTTGCAGCACCAGCGCCCCGGTACATGACCACTGTTTCGGATTTGCCCTCCTCAAAATTCATGGTCATTCCGTGGGCTCGGAAGGTGTCATGGAGGACTGTGATCACATCCTGTACGACCGGGATGAGCATCGCCGGGTCTGTGACTGCGACAGGAATTGCCAGGTCATCCACCCATGAGAGCGGTGGGATGGTCACTCCGATAGCATGGCTGGCAGCCACTGGTGTACGCTGGGATGTCATTGAGCTTGTCTCCAATCTGCCACATCATCCTGGACATGAGCAGGTTGAAGCCCAGGTCAGCCAATGGGGAGCCTGGGCGGGTACCCCTTGCCGTCACCGTCGTTGATGTCTGCGACGCCTCAAGCTTGAACCATGTATCCTTGTGAATATCATGTAAAAAGGTGCGCAGGGCCACTGGAATATCTTCCGACAGAGTCTCGCAAGCCTCCTGTAGGTCTCGAGCCAACTGTTGGAGATCAAACTCATTGGGGTCAAATATTCGTTGAAGTTTGGCTTGTGTCGCAGGCTCCCTGATCGTGAAGATGAACTCCCTGAGCATGTGATGGAAGGCAGCCTTTAAGTCAACAAAGACGGCAGCTGTCGAAAGCCTGCGGGCTCGGCCAAGCTTGCCATGCAACCTCAGCAGTTGAATCGCTGTGATCGTCTGTTGGGAGGGAAGTCCTCCGATCTGACCAGGGGCTTGGCGCTGGAGGAGCGTTGGAAGCAAGCGCTTCCTGGCCCAGGCGTGTAACACCTTTCCAAACACATCAGCGAGGAGAATCCCCCGATATGAGGCCGGCAACTGCTGAGAGTTCTTCTGTTTCCAGATAGGGACCAAAAGGCCACCTTTGTATCTGTATGGCTCAATGCCACTGACAAAGGCCTTCATAATGACGCTGCGGAGAAAGGGTGCGATAACCACTGCCGCATGGCGACATATTTCAGGTGGTAGTCCATCTAAGCCAGCAGCACGATATGGTTGTTGGCGCAAACAAAGTTCCTCAATCTCTGCCAGAGTGGGAAGTTCATGCAGCGCTACATACTGTGGCATAAGATGCTCCTCCAATTCCTGATTGTTGCGCTGAACACATTGCTGCTTGGCAGTTGTATCAGGTATCATCTCACCCGCTTCAAGCTCAGCAAAGTGCTGTTGGAGACCTTCACCAATGTCATACCGCGCATGGAATTGCTTCATCCGATTCTTGGGAAGCACCGCTTTGACGCGTTTCCAAAGGGCAGTGAGGCCTTCATGTGTGTATGCTTGCCCTGACTCAAAAGCAAGCTGCTGATAAAATTGAGCATCAGCGCCTCTGATATCTGCAGTCACTTGCACCGTGAGTTTCTTGTACTCTCGGAGGGTGCAGGCAAAAGTGTGATCATGGAGTCGCAGCCAACCTTTGAGTCGATGTTGTTCCGATGGTGAGGAAGGTTGTTGTGATCTCCACGCCGCAAATATGGCTTGAGTAAGGGTGCGGCGCCAAATGTGTTTCAAATTGCGCAAGTGCCGAAATGCCAGTTTCTTTTGTTGCACCTTTTGCCAAATTTCAGTTGGAATATGTCTCTTGCGTCTCCAGCGGTAGGTCTGTGGGACCAATCTTTGAATGGCTCTGCCAACCTGATCCACGAGCCAATCGGCAGACTGATGTGGGTCAAGAGCCCAGGGGGCTTCAACAATTTCATCAGCCAGTTGGTGGAGAACAGCAGGATCATGGAGTTTCCGTACTAGTTCATGTCGGTCAATGCGCTTTGGAGTTTGCCGTCGCTTCGATTGGAGTGTCACCTCCTTGGAG